CTCATAAAAATATTTTTGTTTAGAACATAAATTAATAATATGAAAATGTTTTGTCGTTAGAAATATATATATAAGTAAACTAGAGGCTCTCAAGAGCCTATGTTGCTCACCTGATTCTACTTTGGTTTTGGAAATCAAGTAAAAATAGATTAAAATCATAACAGATACCCTAATAATGAGTGAGGCCAAATTTGGTTTAATATTGGTCCTGTAATTTGATAAAAAATCCTGGTGGCCATCTTGAACAGTAAATCGGCAACAAAGTAGCAACACTTAATCAGCACCTCATAAGAAACATTTATGCCATGTTTTGGTTTCATTCCATTCAGTGCACCTCTAGAAGCATTTGTATGTATTTCCCATAGGGTCTTATGTTAAAGGAAGTCCCCCCATTGGCGACCATCATGGATGAAGGATCAGCTTCAAAGTAACAAAACTTAGTCAGCACCTCATAAGGAACATTCATGCCATGTTTGGTTTCAATCCATTCAGTATGTGGTTCTCTAAATGAAGACATTTGTATGTATTGTCCATAGGGTCCTTTGTTAAACATTGTCCCCATCTGGTGGCCATCGTGGATGAAGGATCAGCTTCAAAGTAACAACACTTGGTCAGCACCTCAAAAGGAACATGCATGCCATGTTTGGTTTCATTCCATTCAATGGTTCTCTAAAAGAAAACATTTGTATGTATTTCTCATGGGTCCTATGTTAAACTAAGTCCTCTGCTGGCGGCCATCTTAGATTATGGATCGGCTTCATAGTAACAACACTTGGTCAGCACCTCATAAGGAACATTCATGCCATGTTTGGTTTCATTGCATTCAGTGGTTCTCTAAAAGAAGACATTTGTATGTATTTCCAATAGGGTCCTATGTTAAACTAAGTCCCCCGCTGGCGGCCATCTTGGATGATGGATCAGCTTCAAAGTAACAACACTCGGTCAGCACCTCATAAGGAACATTCATGCCATGTTTGGTTTCATTCCATTCAGTGGTTCTCTAAAAGAAGACATTTGTATGTATTTCTCATAGGGTCCCATGTTAAATTAAGTCCCCTGCTGGCGGCCATCTTGGATTATTGATCGGCTTCATAGTAACAACACTAGGTCTGCACCTCATAAGGAACATTCATGGCATGATTGGTTTCATTCCATTCAGTGGTTCTCTAAAAGAAGACATTTGTATGTATTTCCCATAGAGTCCCATGTTAAACTAAGTGCCCTGCTGGCGGCCATCTTGGATTATGGATCAGCTTCAAAGTAACAACCCTCGGTCAGCGCCTCAAAAGGAACATGCATGCAATGTTTGGTTTCATTCAATTCAATGGTTCTCTAAAAGAAAACATTTGTATGTATTTCTCATAGGGTCCTATGTTAAACTAAGTCCTCAGCTGGTGGCCATCTTAGATTATGGATCGCCTTCATAGTAACAACACTTGGTCAGCACCTCATGAGGAACATTCATGCCATGTTTGGTTTCATTGCATTCAGTGGTTCTCTAAAAGAAGACATTTGTATGTATTTCCCATAGGGTCCTATGTTAAAAAAGTCCCCCGCTGGCGGCCATCTTGGATTATGGATCAGCTTCAAAGTAACAACACTTGGTCAGCACCTCATAAGAAACATTCATACCATGTTTGGTTTCATTCCATTCAGTGTTTCTCTAAAAGAAGACATTTGTATGTATTTCCCATAGGGTCCTATGTTAAAAAAGTCCCCCGCTGGCGGCCATCTTGGATTATGGATCGGCTTCATAGTAACAACACTTGGTCAGCACCTCATAAGGAACATTCATGCCATGTTTGGTTTCATTCCATTCAATGGTTCTCTAAAAGAAAACATTTGTATGTATTTCTCATGGGTCCTATGTTAAACTAAGTCCTCTGCTGGCGGCCATCTTAGATTATGGATCGGCTTCATAGTAACAACACTTGGTCAGCACCTCATAAGGAACATTCATGCCATGTTTGGTTTCATTGCATTCAGTGGTTCTCTAAAAGAAGACATTTGTATGTATTTCCAATAGGGTCCTATGTTAAACTAAGTCCCCCGCTGGCGGCCATCTTGGATGATGGATCAGCTTCAAAGTAACAACACTCGGTCAGCACCTCATAAGGAACATTCATGCCATGTTTGGTTTCATTCCATTCAGTGGTTCTCTAAAAGAAGACATTTGTATGTATTTCTCATAGGGTCCCATGTTAAATTAAGTCCCCTGCTGGCGGCCATCTTGGATTATTGATCGGCTTCATAGTAACAACACTAGGTCAGCACCTCATAAGGAACATTCATGGCATGATTGGTTTCATTCCATTCAGTGGTTCTCTAAAAGAAGACATTTGTATGTATTTCCCATAGAGTCCCATGTTAAACTAAGTGCCCTGCTGGCGGCCATCTTGGATTATGGATCAGCTTCAAAGTAACAACACTCGGTCAGCGCCTCAAAAGGAACATGCATGCAATGTTTGGTTTCATTCAATTCAATGGTTCTCTAAAAGAAAACATTTGTATGTATTTCTCATAGGGTCCTATGTTAAACTAAGTCCTCCGCTGGTGGCCATCTTAGATTATGGATCGCCTTCATAGTAACAACACTTGGTCAGCACCTCATGAGGAACATTCATGCCATGTTTGGTTTCATTGCATTCAGTGGTTCTCTAAAAGAAGACATTTGTATGTATTTCCCATAGGGTCCTATGTTAAAAAAGTCCCCCGCTGGCGGCCATCTTGGATTATGGATCAGCTTCAAAGTAACAACACTTGGTCAGCACCTCATAAGAAACATTCATACCATGTTTGGTTTCATTCCATTCAGTGTTTCTCTAAAAGAAGACATTTGTATGTATTTCCCATAGGGTCCTATGTTAAAAAAGTCCCCCGCTGGCGGCCATCTTGGATTATGGATCGGCTTCATAGTAACAACACTTGGTCAGCACCTCATAAGGAACATTCATGCCATGTTTGGTTTCATTCCATTCAGTGGTTTTCTAAAAGAAGACGTTTGTATGTATTTCCCATAGGGTCCCATGTTAAACTAAGTCCCCCGCTAACGGCCATCTTGGATAATGGATCGGCTTCAAAGTAACAACACTTGGTCAGCACCTCATAAGGAACATTCATGCCATGTTTGGTTTCATTCCATTAAGTGGTTCTCTAAAAGAAGACATTTGTATGTATTTCCCGTAGGGTCCAATGTTAAACTAAGTCCCCTGCTGGCAGCTATCTTGGATTATGGATCGGCTTCATAGTAACAACACTTGGTCAGCACCTCATAAGAAACATTCATGCCATGTTTGGTTTTATTCCATTCAGTGGTTCTCTAAAAGAAGACATTTGTATGTATTTCCCATAGGGTTCCTTTGTTAAACTAAGTCCCCCGCTAACGGCCATCTTGGATAATGGATCAATTTCAAAGTAACAACACTTGGTCAGCACCTCATAAGGAACATTCATGCCATGTTTGGTTTCAATCCATTCAGTGGTTCTCTAAAAGAAGACATTTGTATGTATTTCCCGAAGGGTCCTATGTTAAACTAAGTCCCCCGCTGGTGGCCATCTTGGATGATGGATCCGCTACCAAGTAACAACACTTGGTCAGCACCTCATAAGGAACATTCATGCCATGTTTGGTTTCATTCCATTTAGTGGTTCTCTAGAAGAAATTCAAAATGTAAATAGTTAACAACGACGATGGACGATGACCTTCGGGCCAGGTAAGCTAAAAATCATTGATAATATCTATGCACATGTACAGAAAAATAATGTTAAGAATATCTCAAGAACGTTTTGCAGGACTTGAAATATGAATGCCTGCTCAAATCCAATCTATTAGAAAAATCGAATTATTTCAGAAAAATGTCCACCAAAGAAGTTATTGAGGTTCTTGAAGCAGAAGAAACGACACTTCTATCCTGTGAAAGGACAAGACAGGGACGAGCCATAGAAAAACAAGACATTTGATTGATTTGTTTTAAAATGAGCTTCCTTTATACATGATATACGTTAGTGTTTCATATTTTAGAGCGGGAGACAAAAGAAAGGGGGTGGGAGAAAGGAGAAGAGGGGCGGGAGAAAGGAGTATTAAAGGGGGCGGGAGAAAGGAGAAAGGTACCCCCTTGTCCGCCCCCTCATTAATATGAAATGATACAACTGCATACCAAATATCCGTAACCTTCCACTAGTGGTTCCCCACAAACTTATACATGTATACAATGTAAATTTTCAGTCAATATATAGACCATGAATGAGGGGCAGGGCCAAAATATCTCCATGGAAATGAGATGTGCAAATATGAATACAATTGCATACCAAATATCACTGAACTGCCACTAGTGGTTCCCCATAAACTGACCTAATCACAAAACTTATATATGTAAACTATGCAAAACATTCAAAGTCAAAAGACCATGACTGAGAGGGCCAGGCCAAATAATCTCCATAAAAATGAAATGTGGCAACTGCATACCAAATATCATTAACCCACCACTAGTGGTTCCCCATTAACTGACTTTATCACAAACTAATACGTTGACGCTGCCGTCCAAGCCAGAAACAGCACGTTAAAATATTTTCAAAATTTGCTCTTGATACTGTCTTCTTATCATAAAATCTATGAAGGATTGACAATGTTATTGATGTCTATAAAAACTTTAAGCTCACCCTGAACCAAATTGTTGAAATCGTTATCAAAGGTACCAGGCTTATAATTTGATACGGCAGACGCGTGTTTCCTCTACATAAGACTCATCAGTGACGCTCAGATCAAAATAATTAGAAAGCCAAACAAGTATAAAGATGGAAGAGCAGTGAGGACCCAAAATTCCAAAAAGTTGTGCCAAATACGGCTAAGGTAATCTATGCCTGGGATAAAAAAATCCTTAGTATTTCGAATAATTTATACTTTTGCAAACAGTTAATTTGTAAAAGTTAGTCAGAATGTATGATTAATATGTCTAGCCTCTGGCACTATTGTTGCAGGCTTAGCAAAAAGGAATACAATATATGGTTTTATTTTTTTTATTTCAACATCCTGTTCTGCTCTATAAGTAAGAACACAAAGTGGTTTTAGTGTTTACATGAAACAATATATCAATGGCTTGCCCTATTGCATTATAAGTTTTCTGTAATCAGATTAAGGAACCTTCGATGGTATTTTTTAACTCAGCATTTACCACTGAAGGTGTATCAAAACAAATTCTTACATTTTGACAACAAACTATTTAGCTTTACAAATTGTCAATATCTATGCTGCAACATAACTAAAATCTCACTTTCTGAAGTATAGTATAATCTACCAGTATGGAAAGTTCTGAAGTATAGTATAATCTACCAGTATGGAAAGTTCTGAAGTATAGTATAATCTACCAGTATGGAAAGTTCTGAAGTATAGTATAATCTACCAGTATGGAAAGTTCTGAAGTATAGTATAATCTACCAGTATGGAAAGTTCTGAAGTATAGTATAATCTACCAGTATGGAAAGTTCTGAAGTATAGTATAATCTACCAGTATGGAAAGTTCTGAAGTATAGTATAATCTACCAGTATGGAAAGTTCTGAAGTATAGTATAATCTACCAGTATGGAAAGTTCTGAAGTATAGTATAATCTACAAGTATGGAAAGTTCTGAAGTATAGTATAATCTACCAGTATGGAAAGTTCTGAAGTATAGTATAATCTACCAGTATGGAAAGTTCTGAAGTATAGTATAATCTACCAGTATGGAAAGTTCTGAAGTATAGTATAATCTACCAGTATGGAAAGTTCTGAAGTATAGTATAATCTACCAGTATGGAAAGTTCTGAAGTATAGTATAATCTACCAGTATGGAAAGTTCTGAAGTATAGTATAATCTACCAGTATGGAAAGTTCTGAAGTATAGTATAATCTATTAGTATGGAAAGTTAATGTACATCATTACTGAAAGTAACATAATTTCCTACATCTATTATATGCAATTAAATTTTTAAGCCTGAAGTGTTTGCAGATTTTTTAAATCAACAATTTTCTGTGCATGAAGTTTTGCAACTTACAATTCCTATAGAAAAACAACTTAATACTTTGTGAGAAACCTACATTGATTTGACAAAACCATAAAATTACTCAGGTCAATAGGACTTCTTTGATTCTCACAGCTTAAGAGGGTCCTATCATGAATCATATAACTTGTAAACATGGTCTCATTAGTATGTTTACTTAGATAAACACAACTTGTAAAGTATGGTTTGCTTATCTCCTCTTTAAAATACAAATATCATAGGTTCAAATTAGGAATACCAGTTATCTTCTTTTTTCCTTCACAGAACCATAAAACTAATTGAGTCAATAGAAATTCTTTGATTCTCTAAGTTTAAAAGGGTTCTATAATAAATCACAAATGAGCAAATATTAATTCTGTACAATAAGTCATTTTGGATCAAAAAGCAATTAACAAAATCTGTGAATCCTGAATGAACTGAAAGCACTATTACAAAAAAAAAAAGAAGCAAAAACAAGATTAACTGAAGTACATAATTGTTATAGAAAAAGCACTGTATATTGTTAAAATAACGTTACTATTTTAAGGTTTTATCATACTGGAGTCACACTAACCTCATGCATAATTTCTAAACATTTTTATACATTTCATAACAATAAACAATTTATAAGTAAATATGCACAAAGAATTATTACACATTTGTAATTTCTATTAATCTGATTATCGCTAAGCCATACCTGGTTGTTAGAAGTATCTGAGTGGAAACATACATTGTAGTTCATAGTTCATGTAGAGGGAAACATAGTTCATAAAGATGTATTCTTTAACAGCAGCATATAAGAACACATGTCATAACAAAATACACCAAGAAAATAATAAAGACATTTTAAACTGTTCATAAAAAACAATACAATATATATACAAATGGTGAGCACTTAAACAAGTTTATATAATCAGCAGTTAAAGGGAAGAGAGAGGAAAGGCAGTGATTAATACAATACACTTCATAACTTAGGGAGGACAAAAATATACTCATACAATTACCATAACATGTCTTATTTTAAGACAGGCGAGACCTTTGGTTATCATCTGCCTAGTGGAGTTTTATGTACTTGGTCGCAATTTATCAGATAAATTTTGTTAAAGTATGGCATAATGAGGTTTGAACTTAGTACACTAATAAAGGTCGTAAATAAGTCAGATGACTAAATTTTTTTGGGGGGTTGCTGTCAGGTAGTTGTTTATTTTAAGACCTTTTTTGGTCACACAGATCTTCATGTGTTTTTACACCTTGTACTACATATGTTATTCACCTGACTTTTCATGATGATGGTAATTCTGAATTGTATATAAATCACAACAAAATTAATAATTATATGTGATCAACCTCTTAGCCTAAAAACAGTAGATATATAACAATGTGCTGCCCTTAAAGAGTGTGTAAGTTGTATGTATTTGATCCCTTGTCTAGGGCAAAACAAAGTCTTTAAAATTGGTAAATCAGATTCAGCAGTTTTATTGATAGAAGGATCCATATTTGTATCATAAATAAAGAGCCTCCACCATTGGGTTGATTATACTTTTTATATGGAGTAGCCCTTATCAACTACATATTCTCAAAAATCTCACCCATTGCTAATTACAGCACTTCATGTGTTCAAGTAAAATGTATACTATGTCAAGCAGTTCAAGAATGATATTCATTACATTAAACTCTAATACAAAAAATTTCTATCATTACATATGATCAGTACATGAAAAATAACAGAACATTTATTAAAAAATACAAAATTTGCAAGAAATATACAATATAAGTGGTTTACAAAATAGTTGCTGCATCTGATGTCTTCCTGAATAACAATCACTTAAGTCATCTTTCCATTTCAGCAGAAATTCCACATTTCAACAATAAATTCTTTTGTCTTTGTCAAATATGGTGATGTGATTAACACTTCAACAATAAATTCTTTTGTCTTTGTCAAATATGGTGATGTGATTACAGAATTCATCATAAATCAACAAAACATCATTATTACCATCAGTCTTCATCACTGGCAGCTTCAAACATCTGAAATCAATTTTTCACAATCAGTACTTAAATTTTTTAATACTTAAAGCATTAACTGTCCAATTCATCTTCACCGATTTGACCTAAATTCTCATATTTGATTAATAACATACTAAAAGGTATATTCAAATTACAAAAAGTCTAAAATCCGTGTTTCACTTTCAATGTTGACATTCTTTTTTTTTAATAGCTGAATATATACGAAACCCATCTCCAGCTAAGGGGTTAAATTAAAGGTCACATGAATACAGATTCAATGAGGTCGAATTATTAGCATGCAAGTGAATAATTCATCAGCAGTGTTTTTTGTCTCATTTTGACAAAATTTAACCAAAATGGCTGCTAAGAGCGAATTAGTATTTCGCTAAATCACTTTCATTTATGATTGAACATAAAAACTATATTTTAATTTTCTTTACATCTCGTAGCTAATGCCCCTTTAACACGATGAACATTACTATACCTCAGTATATATGTTAGACTCATATCGTCGTCCGCTCTATAATTGACCTCCTTTCCTCAAATCGAAGTCCAAATCTGACGTCATATTCTCAAATCAGTTACCAATATTTTTACTCTCTAATCGACATCCAATGTGACGTCATGTATTGCCAAAACAACGTCTGATTGATTGTAGTCTTCTCTAATCGATGCCCAATATCAATAAATAACAAATTGCAGCACGTATACATGTACAGGAATAAGACTTTGATTGATTTTGGAACATTCAAATTCGAAATAAAAGATGAATTTTAGTCTGTTTTGTAGGGTTCTTATAACAACTTCATTTTCAAACAGTTACAGACATAGAGATGTTTTCAACCCGAAAAAGGTAACAGATGCATTGTTATTCTCTTGCAGAAGGTCAATTTCTATCCGGCACAGCATTATTGTTATTACATTGATCTTTATTTATATCATCTCTAACGTTTTGCTGTTTTAAGAAACTAATTGTCTTTATACATTACAAATCGTAATGACTAAGAAGACCTATTAAAAGGAACAACAAAGTCAGTTACATCTCTTTCCAATGAATCAACTAAAACAATATAAACACATGATCATGATAAAAGGACTTACATTGATATTTCAATAAAATATAACATGTCGGCCCAAGATGTCTCAGCATTTGGATCTTTGCTTATTCCTTTTTCTCTCCTAAACATATCCTGCATTATGTATTGTGTCTTGTTCAATTGTTGAAGCCACCAACGACGTCATTTAATAAAGTTATGAGGTCATTGCGGCAAATCCATAAAACGGACGTCGATTAGAGAACAAAAAAAAAAAACGTCGATTTGGAATATTATTTTATTGTGACGTCAGATTTGCACGTCGATTAGAGACAAGACGTCGATCTGAGCCTAACATATATATTATAACATTTACATTGGTTTTTGCATAACACCCAGTTAAGGATTAGACAATACAATTGTCTACCTGTAGCCAATACTATTGTCCCAATGAAGGAGGGGAAATCATTCAAAAACAGATTCACATTTTTTGGCACTGGAAGCTATTTGAAGCCAGTTTATTGTAATAAATTTCTCTGTTATTATTAAGTATGATTCTGATGTGTACAAAAGACTGATACATCTGGTATTTACATTTGATGACAGAAGCTTTACTTTGACGTCAGATGGTTAAGGTGCCAAAGATGAAAAAGTTTTATTGATTTTTCTACTTGAATGAATTTTACACCACTGTTTTGTTTATTTTGCATAAGAATGGAGATAACCATATTGTATTTCAAGCTTGTCCTACATTAAAACTTGGTTTTATAAAAACTCTCTGAAAAACAGTTTGTTTTGTTGTAATTTACAATTATTTTTAAAAGAGGTTTCGGTAAAATAATTGTATATTGTTACACATTAAACTTACAACTACTACAACTCATAATAAAAATTCTCAGTATATGACAAAATTTAGTTCACAAGTAAATATTATACCTGTTACATTTTTTGTTACAAGCAGCAAAACAGTTGTTAACATATAAAATAACATAAGGGCTCTATAGACATATTAAGTTTTCACAACTAACGACTGATCGACTTTCATGCATATTCAGCATGAGAACAGATTAAACAGATCAATCAGATAGATTCTGCTAAGAGGGAAATTTGTAATACCACTGAAAAATAGAGGGAGCAGAAACTCTGACTTGCAATAGGTCGCATCTCATGTTGCAGGAGTTCATAAAGCTGCATAGAAAAAGGCTCCTTTGAGCTTACAGATAGATTCTGTCTATGTTCAAATTACATATGTCAGAATTAAGTCATCAGATTCTGTCTACACTCAGATTACATATGTCAGAATTCAGGCATCAGATTCTGCCTACGCTCAGATTACATATGTCAGAATTCAGGCATCAGATTCTGTCTACGTTCAAATTACATATGTCAGAATTCAGGCATCAGATTCTGTCTACGCTCAGATTACATATGTCGGAATTCAGGCATCAGATTCTGCCTACGCTCAGATTACATATGTCAGAATTCAGGCATCAGATTCTGTCTACATTCAGATTACATATGTCAGAATTAAGGCATCAGATTCTGTCTACGTTCAGATTACATATGTCAGAATTAAGGCATCAGATTCTGTCTACGTTCAGATTACATATGTCAGAATTAAGGCATCAGATTCTGTCTACGTTCAGATTACATATGTCAGAATTCAGGCATCAGATTCTGTCTATGCTCAGATTACATATGGCAGAATTAAGGCATCAGATTCTGTCTATGTTCAAATTACATATGTCAGAATTAAGGCATCAGATTCTGTCTACACTCAGATTACATATGTCAGAATTCAGGCATCAGATTCTGCCTACGCTCAGATTACATATGTCAGAGTTCAGGCATCAGAATTTGTCTACGCTCAGATTACATATGTCGGAATTAAGGCATCAGATTCTGTCTATGTTCAAGTTATATTTTTTTTTAGCAAAGGGATACAACATCTTAGTAGGACAATCATTGGATTAAATTCTTATTTTTCATATTTGGGCAAAAAAATTAAAATATATGTGAAGGTTTTCCCTACTGACCCCAACATTTTATGAGAATTTCTTCAAAATCTTTTCACCAGAATACAATTATTGAAACCAGTTAATTATTGCACCAAAATATGTGACAGAATTGATCAAAATCATCATTATGTGTAGGACATTTTATATAAGTGACCAAAAACAAACAATGCTGGAAACAAAGTCTGCTTAACTGGTAATATGTTTATTATTCATACAATTATGAGCATCATTAGAAGTTAGAATGAAATTTGTTAGATGTTTTGACAAGAACTTTCTTTTTAAGAGCCTACACATTTGCTAAAGCAGCATATAAATGTCAACAAGATTTTTCTTTTACAACACCTAGTTCAGACCAACAGTTTTATGACATTGCCAGTAACATTGTTATTGCCAACATGGAATAATTCATCAATAAGCCTAAACTTTCTTACAATATAAAAAAATGTGCTTCGCCAAGCGCAGCTGGATACGATCAACAGAAGTCCAACCCTGAACAGTTGGGGCAAAAATGGACACAATATTCAAGCGTGATACAGGTCTGAATTTGGATTGTAATTAAATATTTGACACATTATAGGATTCTGACACAGAATAAATGTAGTCAAAGAACTTAAAATTGGTTATATGATTTGAATTTATATTCAATTGAAGATTTCTTGCTGTTGTGCAATACACTGTGCTGTTGCGCAATACTTAGTAAATCTGTTTTCAGACAATATACAAAGAATTAGCAAAATAAATTGTGACCCCCAATTCTTTTTTACCTCCCCCCCCTCCTTTCCAAAAAAAATAATATTTGAAGAAATTTGCTTTTAGTAAAATGTGGTACAATTTAAGAGACATCCATACACTTAAACACAAGTTATTGTCTGAAAACTAGAAAAATGCTTGGTTTGGCCCCTTTTTGGCCCCTAATTCCTGAACGGTTTGGGAAATTACCCCCAAAATGAATCCCAACCTTCTACTTGTGGTTTTGATCCTTGTGGTACAATTTCAGAGCAATCAAAATACTTAAACACAAGTTATTGTCCTGAAACTAGAAAAATGCTTGTTTTGGACCCCTTTTTGGCCCCTAATTCCTAAATGGTTGGGACCATCACCCCAAAAAAACAATCCCAACCTTCCTTTTGTGGTATTGAACCTTTTGGTTAAATTTCATAGAGATCCATACACTTAAACTTAAGTTATTGTCCGGAAACCAAATGTCTTTGGACGACGACGTGATAGCAATATACGAACGCAAATTTTTTGCGTTCCTATAATAAAGAGATTTGGTATGATTGCCCATGAGACGACTATCCGCTCAAGTTCAAATGACGAAGATGTAAGCAATCATAGGTCACCAATGTTTAATGATTTTGAGAATTGCCTTTTAAGTCATGAGTAACTTACATTCATTAGATTCCTTGGACCAATACAAGGTTTGGCTAGTTCTTCTGTATCTAGTAAGCCATCTTTACTACTGTTTAATGTTGGTGTTGTACATCTTTCTTCATCAAAACTAGACTCAAAACTGGTGTTTGGACTGGATAATTTCCTGTTAATACATGTCAAATTCATTTCAAGCTATTCAAGTCCTTAAATAACATAATAATGTAGAATTGCAAGAATAATAATATTTGTTTTAACTTCAACCTTTTATAAGTTGGAACCAGAAATAGGGACTGGACTGTTTTTCAGGCTTTTTAATCCTATAAATGATGTGTCTAAATATTGACATTGAAAGATGAAAGTGTGCGTATGGTCTGTTGTACAGTCCAATATTGTTGGGGATTCTTTGGATGGATTTTGCGAACCCCCCCACCATATCTTTTATTCCAATCTGAACTGGATTCTATTTATTAAGACAAGGGATGATTTAGACATTGATAAGTATAATCCTTATTATTTCTCCCATTATCAACCTCCTTCAATAAAAAGATAAGGGATGTGGAAGGCAATTGGGTTTTTTTTTCACTAGTATTCTTACTATTAGTACTATAAATTTCAGAAACAGTTTTTTAAATGTAAAATAAAACATAAAAAGAATTTGTAATCAATTAGTGAGATTATAATTGAAATTTAAAGATTATAATTGAAATTAACAAAAATGCACTTGTAAGTTGTTGTGCTATTATATATAGGTTATCTGCACTCCTTATTGAAAACAAGAAGTAGGTGTCTGACAGAGTTTTAGAAAACACTCACAGAATTTGATGTGACTGTCATACAAGTGAGAGGTTTAGCTAGCTATAAAACCAGGTTCAATCCACCATTTTCTACATAACAAAATGCCTGTACCAAGTCAGGAATATGACAGTTGTTATCCATTCATTTGATGTGTTTGAGCTTTTGATTTTGCCATTTGATTAGGGACTTTCCTTTTTGAATTTTCCTCTGAGTTCAGTATTTTTGTGATTTTACTTTTCACACTAAATCACTGCCTAGCTGCTGTCAAAATACTTAATATGAAGTCATTCTGGGTTGAAGCACTGGAGAAATTTGTGATGGAATTATGTTTTAGTACTTCCAACATACAGAAAAAATTAGTACCAGCACAAAGGAAGTATGTTTCTGCCATCAGAAAAATGCTCACCCTTTATAAAATCACTGTTAAACTGCAGATCAAATATGAAGACAATCAGTTCAGTAGTTCCTTATAAAAATTGACTAAAATATGGACAAACAAAAAAGGCAAGAGCAATATAGCCCCTTGAGTGGGAGTATAATAATTTGATAAGGTCTTAAATCATTTGATTAGCCTACCTAATTCTGCCTGGTAAAACTGGTGATGAACTCATTGGTGCAGACATAAAACCTATAGACCTATGGCGTATGGCTGGAGTGGTGAATGCATGTCTTGGCATTGGTCGACTGAAAATATATATACATAATTTATGATTATGCTGGGCTGACTAGATTGCTCTCCTCCAGGCTATTCCAGAAAACACTGAAGTTATAAAAGTCAGAAGGAATTTCATAATAGGCAAAAAAATAAATTTCCTTTCCCTGCATCACTCCTTACCTAAAGTTTCATGCACAATTGTTGGTGTATGTTGAAATTGCTTATTATAAAATTTGGAAATAATTTAAAATTAAAAGAATATGTCTCCCTCATTCAAAGCTCCAATTACTTGTCTGGATATGGTATGCATATATTCATAATAACACTATTATATGGAACCTGCCAGATCAAATAAATGCCAAAGTCTGTTCTTGTTTATATAATAAACAGGATTGCTCTTCATAGATGTGAATATGAATTTGAAATCAAATATGACTATCTTTAGACAAGGGAGACAATTGAAACCAAATATAACTATCTTTAGACAAGGGAGACAATTGAAATCAAATGTGACTATCTTTAGACAAGGGAGACAATTGAAATCAAATATAACTATCTTTAGACAAGGGAGACAATTGAAATCAAATATGACTATCTTTAGACAACAATGGAGACAATTGAAATCAAATATGACTATTTTTAGACAAGGGTGACAATTGAAATCAAATGTGACTATCTTTAGACAAGGGAGACAATTGAAATCAAATATGACTATTTTTAGACAAGGGTGACAATTGAAATCAAATATGACTATCTTTAGACAAGGGTGACAATTGAAATCGTTTTCCATTTGTTATTTCGGGGCCTTTAATAGCTGACTATGCGGTATGGTTTTTGCTCAATGTTGAAGGTCGTATGGTTACCTATAGTTGTTAACTTTTATGTCATTTGGTCTCAGGTGGAGAGTTGTCTCATTGGCAACTATACCACATCTTCTCATTTCTTTAAGTTCTATGCACAGATTCTCTTCAGCAAATAAAAAAAACTAAGGACAAAAAATTAAAATACTGACACCTTATCTCTCACAATTTACTAAGCCAAACTACCATCTTTTGAAGTAATTTCTCACCTTGGCACTATAAATTCTGATGAGAATCCATCACTTGATGAAGAACTATCTAATGGAGCACCAACTGAGTTGTTATGAATACTAATGTCATCCTCAAAACATTCATCTGAAAATAAAAACTAACTTTAAAGAAAATAGAGCCATGGTCAACCACCGCCAATACAGCAAATCACCATGTCTGTTATTTTATTATAATTTTTATACCAATCCTATATAAGGTCTAGGTAAACTCATTAAAGTGTTGATCTCACATCTGTTATTTCATTATATTTTTTAATATACCAATCCTATATAAGGTCTAGGTAACCTCATTAAAGTGTTGATCTCACATCTGTTATTTCATTATATTTTTTAATATACCAATCCTAAATAATGTCTAGGTAACCTCATTAAAGTGTTGATCTCACATCTGTTATTTCATTATATTTTTTAATATACCAATCCTATATCAGGTTTAGGTAACCTCATTAAAGTGTTGATCTCACATCAGTAATTTCATTATATTTTTTAATATACCAATCCTAAAGAAGGTCTAGGTAACCTCATTAAAGTGTTGATCTCACATCTGTAATTTCATTATATTTTTTAATATACCAATCCTATATAAGGTCTAGGTAACCTCATTAAAGTGTTGATCTCACATCTGTTATTTCATTATATTTTTTAATATACCAATCCTAAAGAAGGTCTAGGTAACCTCATTAAAGTGTTGATCTCACATCTGTTATTTCATTATATTTTTTAATATACCAATCCTAAAGAAGGTCTTGGTAACCTCATTAAAGTGTTGATCTCATATCTGTTATTTCATATTATTTTTTAATATACCAATCCTAAAGAAGGTCTAGGTAACCTCATTAAAGTGTTGATCATCATTTATGAGAGCATCAAAAGTAATATAAAAATCTGTTATTTGCATATGTTAGTGTACAAAATATTTCAAATAAAAAACAATATATTGATGAGAAATTTCAAATTCATAAGGTTGGAATATGTAAAACCTAAAATACCAACCACAAGAAATATTAGTATCTGAACATGTACTATGAGTTATTGTTCACACATTATATTACCCATCAATGTTTTATTTACCAAATGAAACAAATTTTCAAATGTGTGAAACAAAATTGATACAAGCAAACAGGAAACTTCGAAGGAAAAGAAAATGCTTCATATGGTATGCTATATGAACCAGATAATGTCTGGTTCTATGTTCAAGAAGCATGAGAAGATGTCTGGCAGTTGCTGAGAGAAAATGTAACATAAATATGTTATGTACAGACAGTAGATGGACAGGGGTAAACCAGTATATCCCTATTCTTTGAAAGTGGGTATAAAAAACCCTGAGCTATACCTGGTACTAATACATACTATCAGAAATATTGTAATCAAGAGAAAACCCTGGGTTATACCTGGTACTAATACATACTATCAGAAATATTGTAATCAAGAGAAAACCCTGGGTTATACCTGGTACTAATACATACTATCAGAAATATTGTAATCAAGAGAAAACCCTGGGTTATACCTGGTACTAATACATACTATCAGAAATATTGTAATCAAGAGAAAACCCTGGGTTATACCTGGTACTAATACATACTATCAGAAATATTGTAATCAAGAGAAAACCCTGGGTTATACCTGGTACTAATACATACTATCAGAAATATTGTAATCAAGAGAATACCCTGGGCTTTAACTGGTATCAATATAAAAATGAAAGATGTGGTATGATTGCCAATCGGCTATATATTTTGTGACAATTCTCCAACAGAGACCAAAGGCTAACAGCCTGATTGATGTACAAAACAATAAACAATAAACAAATATGATATACAGAAACAAACGAAAACCTCTGAATTGTGTAAACAGGCTCCAGACTTGAGACAAGCACATACAGAATATGGCAGGGTTAAACTAGTTTGCTGGCACCGAACTCTCCCCCTAACCTTGGACAGAGGTGTAACAGTCCAACATAAGATCAAACTTTTAAAAAATGCTGAAAATGGCATCAGATCGATACACAGCACTTTAATTTCTAACACCTACCATCAAAAATACTATGATCGAGCTATTACTGGTATTATACATACCATCAGAAATACTATGATCGAGAGGATACCCTGAGCTATAACTGGTATTATGACTGCTTGAACTAGGCACTTGTCTTTCCCTGATCTTCTTCACAGGGAAGCTGAACACACTGGTTATCATGAACACAAATTGTAAGAGACGAAAGAACATGGCTTTAATGGAGTTAATCTGAAAATATACAAAAGTAGCTATTGTTACAGACAAAAGAAACAAGGCTTTAATGGAGTTAATCTTATAATAAACAAAAGTACTAACAATTGTTAGAGATGAAAAAAAAACAAGGCTTTGATGGAGTAAATCTTTAAAAAAAATAATTAATAGATTGTTAGATATGAGCAGACATTCTCACTGTCTACCAGAAAACAAACAAAGCAGAATTGTGTGAGATAAAAAAAATTTTTTTTTAGACTAACTCTCATCTAAATTTTAAGGAAGATATTTTTTAAACAGGAAAAAAGCAAAAAAATAAAATGGTTTAATATAAATCCAAACAGACCAGGTTTTTATTTCAAAACAGGTAACAAAAGATTTAAGTTGGAGTTGAAGTGGGAGGGTCAGCATCTGAAAACATTGTATTTCTCAGAGGCCTTCAGCTCCTTTTCTCTGTAAGACATTTGTGTTATGCAGTTATGAATGTTAGTAAGATACTTACAACACTTTTCATCACATATTCTCTTCTTCGTCTTTTCCACATCTAGAAAAGAATACAATCAATACTTTTAATGATTTTGATTAACATTTGTAAAAAGGAACGTAACAATGGTTACTGTTCAGTGTCAACCTTTTTTTCAGTTTCTTCTTTGATTTATTACAATTTATTGACAATGATAAAACTCTGTAGAAGTAATTTGATGCTATTTAAAAGGCTGTTCCATTAAAACATACATGGTACACAAGGACGGCACCTTAAAATTGAAGTAACTACCCATAGAAGCAATTTTGGAGGCCTGCATAAACTTGTACAACATATTTCAGACCTACCCATAGTATTCATGTTGCCTTCTCTGGTCCAATGCATGATCTTCAGGAACAGTCTTTTTGATAAATTATGCATAATTAATTTGAAATTTCTTGAAGATATAAATTTGAAGGTTCAAATTAAAACATAAAAAGTTACAACAAATAAAACATGAATATTTAGATATCACTCTCTCTCTTTACCTAAGGAAATGATAATACTTGGTCGACTAAATGTAATGTCTGCTTACCCTTCTAACATAAGGAAATACTAATACTTGGTCGACTAAATGTAATGTCTGCTTACCCTTCTAACATAAAGAAATGCTAATACTTGGTCTACTTAATGTAACGTCTACTTACCCTTCTAACATAAGGAAATGTTAATACTTGACCTACTCATTGTAATGTCAGCTTACCCTTCTAACATAAGGAAATGTTAATACTTGGTCTACTTTATTTAATGTCTACTTACCCTTCTAACATAAGGAAATGATAATACTTGGTCGACTAAATGTAATGTCTGCTTACCCTTCTAACATAAGGAAATACTAATACTTGGTCGACTAAATGTAACGTCTACTTACCCTTCTTACATAAGGAAATGTTAATACTTGACCTACTCATTGTAATGTCAGCTTACCCTTCTAACATAAGGAAATGTTAATACTTGGTCTACTTTATTTAATGTCTACTTACCCTTCTAACATAAGGAAATGCTAATACTTGGTCTACTCAATGTAATGTCTGCTTACCCTTCTTACATAAGGAAATGCTAATACTTGGTCTACTTAATGTAATTTCTACTTACCCTTCTAACATAAGGAAATGCTAATACTTGACCTACTCATTGTAATGTCAGCTTACCCTTCTAACATAAGGAAATGCTAATACTTGGTCGACTAAATGTAATGTCTGCTTACCCTTCTAACATAAAGAAATGCTAATACTTGGTCGACTTTATGTAACGTCTACTTACCCTTCTAACATAAGGAAATGTTAATACTTGACCTACTCATTGTAATGTCAGCTTACCCTTCTAACATAAGGAAATGTTAATACTTGGTCTACTTTATTTAATGTCTACTTACCCTTCTAACATAAGGAAATGCTAATACTTGGTCTACTTAATGTAATGTCTGCTTACCCTTCTAACATAAGGAAATGCTAATACTTGATCTACTCAATGTAATGTCTGCTTACCCTTCTATCATAAGGAGATGCTAATACTTCATCTACTCAATGTAATGTCTACTTACCCTTCTAACATAAGGAAATACTAATACTTGGTCGACTAAATGTAATCTCTGCTTACCCTTCTAACATAAGGAAATGCTAATACTTGGTCTACTCAATGTAATGTCTGCTTACCCTTCTAACATAAGGAAATGCTAATACTTGACCTTCTCATTGTAATGTCAGCTTACCCTTCTAACATAAGGAAATGTTAATACTTGGTCAACTTTATTTAATGTCTACTTATCCTTCTAACATAAGGAAATGCTAATACTTGGTCTGCTCAATGTAATGTCTGCTTACCCTTCTAACATAAGGAAATGCTAATACTTGATCTTCTCAATGTAATGTCTGCTTACCCTTCTTTCATAAGGAGATGCTAATACTTCATCTACTCAATGTTATGTCTGCTTACCCTTCTAACATAAGGAAATGCTAATACTTGGTCTACTCAATGTAATGTCTGCTTACTCTTCTAACATAAGGAAATGCTAATACTTGGTCTACTCAATTTAATGTCGACTTACCCTTCTAACATTAGGAAATGCTAATACTTGGTCTACTCATTGTAATCTTTACTTACCTTTCTAACATAAGGAAATGCTAATACTTGGTCTACTCAATTTAATGTTGACTTACCCTTCTAACATAAGGAAATGCTAATACTTGGTCTACTCAATGTAATGTCTACTTATCCTTCTAACATAAGAAAATGCTAATACTTGGTCTACTCAATGTAATGTCTACTTACCCTTCTAACATAAGAAAATTCTTATACTTGGTCTACTTAATGTAATGTCTATTTACCCTTCTAACATACGGAAATGCTAATACTTGGTCTACTCATTGTAATGTCTACTTACCCTTTTAACATAAGGAAATGCTAATACTTGGTCTACTCATTGTAATGTCTACTTACCCTTCTAACATAAGGAAATGCTAATACTTGGTCTACTCAATGTAATGTCTGCTTACCCTACTAACATAAGGAAATGCTAATACTTGGTGTACTTAATCTAATGTCTACTTACCCTTCTAACATAAGGAAATTCTAATACCTGATCTACTCATTGTAATGTCTGCTTACCCTTCTAACATAAGGAAATGCTAATACTTGGTCATCTTAATGTAATGTCTGCTTACCCTTCTAACATAAGGAAATGCTAATACTTGGTCTACTCAAAGTATAGTTTACTTACCCTTCTAACATAAGGAAATAATACTTGTACTTAATCTAATGTCTACTTACCCTTCTAACATAAGGAAATTCTAATACCTGATCTACTCATTGTAATGTCTGCTTACCCTTCTAACATAAGGAAATGCTAATACTTGGTCATCTTAATGTAATGTCTGCTTACCCTTCTAACATAAGGAAATGCTAATACTTGGTCTACTCAAAGTATAGTTTACTTACCCTTCTAACATAAGGAAATGATAATACTTGGTCTACTTAATCTAATGTCTGCTTACTCTTCTAACGTAAGCAAATGCTAATACTTGGTCTACTCAATGTAATGTCTGCTTACCCTTCTTACATAAGGAAATGCTAATACTTGGTCTACTCAATGTAATGTCTGTTTACTCTTCTAACATAAGGAAATGCTAATACTTGGTCTACTCAATGTAATGTCTGCTTACCCTTCTTACATAAGGAAATACTAATACTTGGTCTACTCAATGTAATGTCTGCTAATTCTAACATCAGGAAATGCTAAAATTTGGTCTACTCAATGTAATGTCTACTTACCCTTCTAACATAAGGAAATGCTAATACTTGGTCTAATCAATGTAATCTCTGCTTACCCTTCTAACATAAGGAAATGCTAATACTTGGTCTACTCAATGTAATGTCTGCTTACCCTTCTAACATAAGGAAATGCTAATACTTGACCTTCTCATTGTAATGTCAGCTTACCCTTCTAACATAAGGAAATGTTAATACTTGGTCTACTTTATTTAATGTCTGCTTATCCTTCTAACATAAGGAAATGCTAATACTTGGTCTACTCACTGTAATGTCTGCTTACCCTTCTAACATAAGGAAATGCTAATACTTGATCTTCTTAATGTAATGTCTGCTTACCCTTCTTTCATAAGGAGATGCTAATACTTGGTCTACTCAATGTAATGTCTGCTTACCCTTCTAACATAAGGAAATGCTAATACTTGGTCTACTCAATGTAATGTCTGCTTACTCTTCTAACATAAGGAAATGCTAATACTTGGTCTACTCAATTTAATGTCGACTTACCCTTCTAACATTAGGAAATGCTAATACTTGGTCTACTCATTGTAATCTTTACTTACCCTTCTAACATAAGGAAATGCTAATACTTGGTCTACTCAATGTAATGTCTACTTACCCTTCTAACATAAGAAAATGCTAATACTTGGTCTACTCAATGTAATGTCTACTTACCCTTCTAACATAAGAAAATGCTTATACTTGGTCTACTTAATGTAATGTCTATTTACCCTTCTAACATAGGGAAATGCTAATACTTGGTCTACTCATTGTAATGTCTACTTACCCTTTTAACATAAGGAAATGCTAATACTTGGTCTACTCATTGTAATGTCTACTTACCCTTTTAACATAAGGAAATGCTAATACTTGGTCTACTCATTGTAATGTCTGCTTACCCTTCTAACATAAGGAAATGCTAATACTTGGTCTACTCAATGTAATGTCTGCTTACCCTTCTAACATCAGAAAATGGCAATACTTGGTCTACTTAATCTAATGTCTGCTTACCCTTCTAACATAAGGAAATGCTAATACTTGGTCTACTCAATGTAATTTCTACTTACCCTACTAACATAAGGAAATGCTAATACTTGGTGTACTTAATCTAATGTCTACTTACCCTTCTTACATAAGGAAATTCTAATACCTGATCTACTCATTGTAATGTCTGCTTACCCTTCTAACATAAGGAAATGCTAATACTTGGTCATCTTAATGTAATGTCTGCTTACCCTTCTAACATAAGGAAATGCTAATACTTGGTCTACTCAAAGTATAGTTTACTTACCCTTCTAACATAAGGAAATGATAATACTTGGTGTACTTAATCTAATGTCTACTTACCCTTTTAACATAAGGAAATGCTAATACTTGGTCATCTTAATGTAATGTCTGCTTACCCTTCTAACATAAGGAAATGCTAATACTTGGTCTACTCAAAGTGTAGTTTACTTACCCTTCTAACATAAGGAAATGATAATACTTGGTCTACTTAATCTAATGTCTGCTTACTCTTCTTACATAAGCAAATGCTAACACTTGGTCTACTCAATGTAATGTCTGCTTACCCTTCTTACATAAGGAAATGCTAATACTTGGTCTACTCAATGTAATGTCTGTTTACTCTTCTAACAAAAGGAAATGCTAATACTTGGTCTACTCAATGTAATGTCTGCTTACCCTTCTTACATAAGGAAATACTAATACTTGGTCTACTCAATGTAATGTCTGCTAATTCTAACATCAGGAAATGCTAATATTTGGTCTACTCAATGTAATGTCTACTTACCCTTCTAACATAAGGAAATGCTAATACTTGGTGTCCTTAATCTAATGTCTACTTACCCTTCTAACATAACGAAATGCTTATACTTGGTCTACTCAATGTAATGTCTACTTACCCTTCTAACATAAGGAAATGCTAATACTTGGTGTACTTAATCTAATGTCTGCTTACCCTTCTTACATAAGGAAATGCTAATACTTGATCTTCTTAATGTAATGTCTGCTAACCTTTCTAACATAAGGAAATGCTAATACTTGGTCTACTCAATGTAATGTTTACTTACCCTTCTTACATAAGGAAATGATAATATTTGGTCTACTTAATCTAATGTCTGCTTACTCGTCTAACATAAGCAAATGCTAATACTTGGTTCATCAATGTAATGTCTGCTTACCCTTCTAACATAAGGAAATGCTAATACTTGGTCTACTCAATGTAATGTCTGTTTACTCTTCTAACATAAGGAAATGCTAATACTTGGTCTACTCAATGTAATGTCTGCTTACCCTTCTTACATAAGGAAATGCTAATACTTGGTCTACTCAATGTAATGTCTGCTAATTCTAACATCAGGAAATGCTAATATTTGGTCTACTCATTGTAATGTCTACTTACCCTTCTAACATAAGGAAATGCTAATACTTGGTGTACTTAATCTAATGTCTACTTACCCTTCTAACATAACGAAATGCTTATACTTGGTCTACTCAATGTAATGTCTACTTACCCTTCTAACATAAGGAAATGCTAATACTTGGTGTACTTAATCTAATGTCTGCTTACCCTTCTAACATAAGGAATTGTTAATACTTGGTCTACTTAATTTAATGTCTACTTACCCTTCTAACATAAGGAAATGCTAATACCTGATCTACTAAATGTAAAGTTACTTACCCTTCTAACATAAGGAAAAGCTAATACTTGGTCTACTGTAGGACGACTTCTAGGATCAGGATCCAACATTTGACGTATCACATACTTCAGATCAAAAGATTTATCTGCAAGAAGATAATTTAATATATTGCCATCACAAATTTACCAAATCTATATTGAAAATATATATATATTTATGTCCTGTCATGTGTCTTCTATTCAATATCATGATGTCAACATAATGTATTAATGTCAACATTATAATATATTAATGTCAACATAATGTATTGATGTCAACATTACAATGTACTGACATCAACATTACAATGTATTGATGTCAACAATATAATGTATTGACGTCAACATTACAATGTATTGATGTCAACATTAAAATTTATTGATGTCAACATTAAAATGTATTGATGTCAACATTAAAATGTATTGATGTCTACATTAAAATGTATTGATGTCTACATTGTAATGTATTGATGTTAACATTAAAATTTATTGATGTCAACATTATAATGTATTGATGTCAACATTATAAGGCATTGATGCTGAGTTCTCCTGGTGGTTATCTTTCCACCATATAGAGCTAGGATTAGAACATGTTAATTTGATATAGTATGAACATTATTTATGGGGCCCTTTATAGCTTACTGTTCGGTGTGAGCCAAGGCTCCGTGTTGAAGACCGTACTTTGACCTATAATGGTTTACTTTTATAAATTTTGACTTGGATGGAGAGTTGTCTCATTGGCACTCATACCACATCTTCTTATATCTATTATCAGCAGCAAAGAATTATGTTTTAACTTGTACCATGGAGTCTTGAACTTGGCATGATTCAAGAGTTTTTGCTCCATGCTGAAGGCCTCACTGGGACTTTGAGATGAAGAACAGATATTAAACAAAGCACTGCTGCATTGACAGTCTTTTTATGAAGCAATTTTGTACGATAAATTGATAAACTAGATATATCCTTTCAATTCCATCATGTTTATTATTGAATAAATTAACTAAAACAAATTCTTAATGTGCTTTGTAAAAGACTATTCTCAGACTCCACACCAACCAGTGTAGGAAATACTTATTTTTGTTTGTTTGACCCAATGCTATGCCATACTCATAGCAAGCAAATTAATTATACACAACAAATAGGATTCCTCGGCTTAGTGATGATCTTAATCACTGCCACAATTTTTCAACCATCAAAAGTCCAAGATTTTTTAAGTAAGAGTATTTGAAGAACTTTTGTAGAGAGCTATAATTAGTCTGGGGAAAAAACATAATCTTAACAATACAATTTTAAAGATGAGAATTTCAACAACAATCTTGTCCTCCTTCTTCGTGATTTCTGTCTCCAATAGAATGCACATCCAAATCACTTGCCTTTACATCATGCAGTTTTTCCCATTTCATCACAATTTCCACAAATCTACAGCCCAATTGTTATAAACTATCAACCAAGAATTTTTTTCTAGCACCACTGCTTAAAACTAAAGGGTTTCTAATTTAACACAATGCATTTTTCTATGACACTGCTAAATTCTAAAATGTTGTTAAATATTTGTTAACTGTGCCTTAGTATGTGATAGAAAAGTTGTATGCATTTAGTAACCTTAGAATCATCTCTTTTTACCTCTTAGAAATTCTTCTGGAATTGTACCAGACCTGAGTAAGTGCCAGCCTTCCTCTCCTCTTGGGAGGTCCAGGTCACCAGCCAATTCTAGTGTAGCCATTCCTAAACTGAAATTAAAAGATTTTCTTTTCATTCATTGTTGTCATAATACATTAAAGTGGTAACAAGAATGGTCAAAAACATTTCATAGTCATGATAGTACAACCAGACAACATCTACCATTAAAACAAGACTCCTAAACTAGAGGCTCTAAAGAGCCTGTGTCGCTCACCTTGGTCTATGTGCATATTAAACAAAGGACACAGATGGATTCATGACAAAATTGTGTTTTGGTGATGGTGATGTGTTTGTAGATCTTACTTTACTGAACATTCTTGCTCCTTACTATTATCTCTATCTATAATGAACTTGGCCCGGTAGTTACAGTGGAAAATACTTTGTAAAAATTTACAAAAATTTACAAAATTTATGAAAATTGTAAAAATTGACTATACAGGGCAATAACTCCTTAAGGGGTCAATTGACAATTTTAGTCATTTTGCCTTATTTGTAGATCTAACTTTGCTGTACATTATTGCTGTTTACAGTTTATCTCTATCTATAATAATATTCAAGATAATAACCAAAAGCTGCAAAATTTTCTTAAAATTACCAATTCAGGGGCAGCAACCCAACAATGTGTTGCCTGATTGGTCTGAAAATTTCAGGGCAGATAGATCTTGACCTAATGAACAATTGTACCCCATGTCAGATTTGCTCTAAATGCTTTGGTTTCAGAGATATGAGCCAAAAACTGCATTTTACCCTATGTACTATTTTTTAGCCATGTCGGCCATCTTGGTTGGTTGGCGGGGTCATCGGACACATTTTTTAAACAAGATACCCTAATGATGATTGTGGACAAGTTTGGTTAAATCTGTCTTAGTAGTTTCAGAGGAGAAGATTTTTGTAAAAGATTACAAAAATTTACGAAAAAAGGTTAAAAATTGACTATAAAGGGCAATAACTCCTTAAGGGGTCAACTGACCATTTTGGTCAAGTTGACTTATTTGTAGATCTTACTTTGCTGAACATTATTGCTGTTTACAGTTTATCTCTATCTATAATAATATTCAAGATAATAACCAAAAACAGCAAAATTTCCTTAAAATGACCAATTCAGGGGCAGCAACCCAACAACGGGTTGCCTGATTGGTCTGAAAATTTCAGGGCAGATAGATCTTGACCTAATGAACAATTTTATACCGACAGATTTGCTCTAAATGCTTTGGTTTCAGAGATATAAGCCAAAAACTGCATTTTACCCTATGTACTATTTTTTAGCCATGTCGGCCATCTTGGTTTTGCGGGCGGGGTCATTGGACACATTTTTTAAACTAGATACCCTAATGATGATTGTGGACAAGTTTGGTTAAATTTGTCTAATTAGTTTCAGAGGAGAAGATTTTTGTAAAAAATTACAAAAATTTACGAAAAATGGTTAAAAATTGACTACAAAGGGCAATAACTCCTTAAGGGGTCAACTGACAATTTTGGTCAAATTGACTTATTTGTAGATCTTACTTTGCTGAACATTATTGCTGTTTACAGTTTATCTCTATCTATAATAATATTCAAGATAATAACCAAAAACGACAAAACTTCCTTAAAATTACCAATTCAGGGGCAGCAACCCAACAACGGGTTGCCTGATTGGTAAGAAAATTTCAGGGCAGATAGATCTTGACCTAATGAACAATTTTATACTCATCAGATTTGCTCTAAATGCTTTGGTTTCAGAGATATGAGCCAAAAACTGCATTTTACCCTATGTACTATTTTTTAGCCATGTCGGCCATCTTGGTTCACGGGCGGGGTCATCGGACACATTTTTTAAACAAGATACCCTAATGATGATTGTGGACAAGTTTGGTTAAATTTGTCTTAGTAGTTTCAGAGGAGAAGATTTTTGTAAAAGATTACAAAAATTTACGAAAAATGGTTAAAAATTGACTATAAAGGGCAATAACTCCTTAAGGGGTCAACTGACCATTTTGGTCAAGTTGACTTATTTGTAGATCTTACTTTGCTGAACATTATTGCTGTTTACAGTTTATCTCTATCTATAATAATATTCAAGATGATAACCAAAAACAGCAAAATTTCCTTAAAATTACCAATTCAGGGGCAGCAACCCAACAACAGGTTGTCAGATTCATCTGAAAATTTCAGGGCAGATAGATCTTGACCTAATAAACAATTTTACCCCATGTCAGATTTGCTCTAAATGCTTTGGTTTCAGAGATATAAGCCAAAATCTACATTTTACCCCTATGTTCTATTTTTAGCCATGGCGGCCATCTTGGTTGGTTGGCTGGGTCACCGGACACATTTTTTAAACTAGATACCCCAATATTGATTGTGGCCAAGTTTGGTCAAATTTGGCCCAGTAGTTTCAGAGGAGAAGATTTTTGTAAAAGTTTACGGACGACGGACGACGGACGAAGGACGACGGACACAGGACGACGGACGATGGACGCAAAGTGATGAGAAAAGCTCACTTGACCTTTCAGGTCAGGTGAGCTAAAAAAACAGACAAATGACAAGGCATGATAGTACAATGTACAACCAGACAACATCTACCATTAAAACAAGACTCCTAAAATATAACCAGACATACAAAGACAAACAACACACAGTAAAGATAGCCAGACTTGTAACATGCACATAATGTATATGTTGTCATCTGACACAAAAATGAATCCAAAAAACCATAAAAAAAAGACAGTCACAGCCACAAAACGTACCTGATTATATCTGCAGGTTTACCAAATTTACCCAAATATATCCCCAGGTTTACCAAATAAACCTATTAAAATATATCAGCAAGTTTACCTGCAAATACCAGCAGATTAACCAAATTTACCAAAATAAATCAGCAAGTTAACCAAAATTACCTTCATATATCAGTATGTTTACCAAATTTACCTGCAAACATCAACAGATTAACCAAATTTACCTGAATATATCAGCAAGTTGACCAAAATTACCTATATCAGCAGTTTACTAAATTTACCTGAATACATCAGCAGGTTTACTAAATTGACCTGAATATATATACCAGAAGGTTTACTAATTTACCTGAATACATCAACAGGTTTACTAAACTCAGTCTTCACGCTGAACCACAGGCCCAGCAACCCAGGCTTGTAAAATTGCTCTCGGGCCTGTAAAAATCATATTTACAGGCCAACAGAATCTAACTAAAATTTTCCAAAAATTGAGCTCCGGGCCTGTAGATTTTAAAGTTCATCGTGAAGACTGTACACTGACCTGAATACACCAGCAGGTTTACTCATTTACCTGAATACACCAGCAGGTTTACAAATTTATCTGAATACATCAACAGGTTTACTTATTTACCTGAATACACCAGCAGGTTTACTAATTTACCTGAATACATCAACAGGTTTACTAAACTGACCTGAATACACCAGCAGGTTTACTCATTTACCTGAATACACCAGCAGGTTTACTAATTTACCTGAATACATCAACAAGTTTACTAAACTGACCTGAATACACCAGCAGGTTTACTCATTTACCTGAATACATCAGCAGGTTTACTAATTTACCTGAATACATCAGCAGGCTTACTAATTTACCTGAATACATCAACAGGTTTACTCATTTACCTGAATACATCAACAGGTTTACTAAACTGACCTGAATACACCAGCAGGTTTACTCATTTACCTGAATAGACCAGCAGGCTTACTAAACTGACCTGAATACACCAGCAGGTTTACTCATTTACCTGAATACACCAGCAGGCTTACTAATTTACCTGAATACATCAACAGGTTTACTCATTTACCTGAATACATCAACAGGTTTACTAAACTGACCTGAATACACCAGCAGGTTTACTCATTTACCTGAATACACCAGCAGGTTTACTAATTTACCTGAATACACCAGCAGGTTTACTAATTTACCTGAATACATCAACAGGTTTACTAAACTGACCTGAATACACCAGAAGGTTTACTCATTTACATGAATACATCAACAGGTTTACTAAACTGACCTGAATACACCAGCAGGTTTACTCATTTACCTGAATACATCAACAGATTTACTAAACTGACCTGAATACACCAGCAGGTTTACTCATTTACCTGAATACACCAGCAGGTTTACTTATTTACCTGAATACACCAGAAGGTTTACTTATTTACCTGAATACATCAGCAGGCTTACTAACTTACCTGAATACATCAACAGGTTTACTAAACTGACCTGAATACACCAGCAGGTTTACTCATTTACCTGAATACACCAGCAGGTTTACTAATTTACCTGAATACATCAACAGGTTTACTAAACTGACCTGAATACACCAGAAGGTTTACTCATTTACCTGAATACATCAACAGGTTTACTAAACTGACCTGAATACACCAGCAGGTTCACTCATTTACCTGAATACATCAACAGATTTACTAAACTGACCTGAATACACCAGCAGGTTTACTCATTTACCTGAATACACCAGCAGGTTTACTTATTTACCTGAATACACCAGAAGGTTTACTTATTTACCTGAATACATCAGCAGGCTTACTAACTTACCTGAATACATCAACAGGTTTACTAAACTGACCTGAATACACCAGCAGGTTTACTCATTTACCTGAATACACCAGCAGGTTTACTAATTTACCTGAATACACCAGCAGGTTTACTAATTTACCTGAATACACCAGCAGGTTTACTTATTTACCTGAATACACCAGAAGGTTTACTAATTTGAATACCTGAATACACCAGCAGGTTTACTTATTTACCTGAATACACCAGCAGGTTTACTTATTTACCTGAATACATCAGCAGGTTTACCAAATTTTCCATCCATCAGCTCAGGTGCTATATACTTTGGATCCCCTTCCTGGGCCTCAGATAAATCACATCCCTGTAACAGAACAATTATCTTTAAAACGTGTGTATAAAATTAATCTCCTGATGTATTTAGGAATTAGCATACATATCAGATTAACCTACATTTTGTATCTCAAAAATGTGTTTGTTTACAAGTACCAGAAAATCAACTCTGAAGTACAGCCAAAAATATATATATTGAGAGTGCAAAGCAGCATCATTTCATTAGGGTTCGTGTTGCCCAGTCTTTAGTTTTCTATGTTGTGTTTTGTGTACTGTTGTTTGTCTGTCTGTCTTTTTCTTTTTTAGCCATGGCGTTGTCAGATTATTTTCGACTTATGAGTTTTAATGTCCCTTTGGTATTTTTCGCCTCTATTTTTCAAATTCAGAAGATGTATTTTGAGCTAGCTCTAAGGTACTATGAGAGTGCAGGACATCATCATTTAAATCTTCAGATGTACTGCGAGCTTGCTCTAATGTACTGGGAGCAATCTTTGATACAGTACAGTTTATCATTGCTTTACTTGTTATCTAACTTACCTTTATTGTAGAGTTTTTTTTCTTTTCATACATTGATTTTTATTGTATTTCTTTTAAGAACCTTTTGTTTGTCCAATGAACGAGATTAAAAAAGGGAGAGTTGAGATTTCAAAAACATGTTTAAACCTCATAGATATGTAGGATTAGGAGGTGTGATTGTCACACAGAAGTGCGATAATCTACGCCGAAGTGCGATGGTCCGTTCGCTGATGTGGGATGGTCTATTTGATGCATGACGTCTAGTTTAAAATCTACAGATGTGTAATTATTATGAGAAGTACATGTAGATTTTTTGTAATAGTAAATAAATTTATATTCATTATTGTATATGTCTGTCCTTAATTACAGGTGCATACTAAATGAGGGATCGTGGACATAATTCTGCATAAATATTTTATCTTTACTTTGTTCCTCTTATGAGTTCCTCATTTACAATAATATCCTAATATGAAGAGTCTGTCTGCAGACCCATATGTATTTAAAGAATGTTGCACTCCATCGTACATAAAAATTCGTAAGGGTTCCACGGAACCCAGTGTCGCGCCTACTTTTGCTGTTAATCGCAGGCTCAACAAAAATGAGATGAGGAAAAAATTTAATAAAAATATTCCTCTCGATACAATTTTTTTATTGTAAGAAGCTTCTGTCCAAGTTTGGTAAAAATCCAGGATTTAACTGCAGAATGTATGTAACGTTAACTTGAAGAAAAACTAAGTCCATTTATAAGTAAAATATGGATAAACAAGTACAAAATTTTAATAAAAATTTCCTTCTAGATACTAGCTTTTGATCATAAACAAACTTCTGTCCATGTTTGGTACAAATCCAGGATAGTTTAAGAAAGTTATTAAAATTTTAAAAACTTTAACCACAGAGTGAATGTAATGTTTCCTGGCAGAAAAACTAAGTCCATTTATAAGTAAAATACGGAAAAACAGGAATTTTTTTTTTCAAATTTACTTCTGGATACTATCTTATGATCATAAACAAGCTTCTATCCAAGTTTGGTAGAAATCCAGGATAGTTTGAGAAAGTTATTAAAATTTTAAAAACTTTAACCACAGAGTGAATATTTGTGGACGCCGCCGCCGACGGAATGTAGGATCGCTATGGCTTGCTTTTTCGACAAAAATCGAATGGTCGACAAAAAAGAGCCTTTTGTAGATTTTTCTTAAAAATTCGCTACAGAAGGTTAACTTTCCCTCATACACAAATCTTCCACGTTTCTCTTAGAACTTAAAGTCATTAAGCCCCTTTTTAACTTAAAAACCTTGAAAACTGCTTCTAACATGCAAATTTACTTCTACATCGACATGCAAAGCATTGAAAATGTAGTTTGTGTAGACCATCACACTTCAGTTTTACAACAATGGCACTTCAGCGTAGTATCAACAAGATAGCATCAAAATGCCACCATCGCACTTCAGCATGAACAAAGACGCACTTCAGCTTCAAACCATCGCAGTTCTTAGTACCATCTCGGTTCAGAGTCCTACAAATGTATATACATATACAAAATGTCATAAAACCCTTACATTAAATTAAAGGATACCAGCCAAAAATCCCTTGCAAGACACCATCATTAAAACAGAATAATGGAATAATCCTAGGAGACTAGGAACCAGAACACATATATCTGTAATACTATATAATTACCTTTGATACATCCAGAACCAGACCAAAGTCTCCAAGTTTACAAATATTATCATATGATATGAATATGTTTTCAGGTTTTATATCCATGTGAACCAGGTTATGATCATGTAAATGTTTTACTGCCTGAAAATATAGAAAATATGTTCATTTTACCATGTTTACTACCAGTCTGCTATGATATCACTGTTCTCTGATTTTAGATCCAAGTTTACCACAAAATCCTGAAAGATTATAAGTTTTCTTAGAACCAGATTTACACAACACATCCAGTTATGGATGCATGCAAGATAGTATATTTGTAATTCCCCATGGTCTGACAATTATTTCCCCCTATTTTGATCGATATTACAAATTTGACTGAATAATCAAGCTGAAATAGGATACATAGTCTACTGAATTACACAACAAAAAACGCTTATTTATTGGAAAAAATTTGGAAAGGCAATAAAATCTTTACAGGTCAATAATCAAAATAACAGTCAGTCAATGAGGTACAATGTAACAGACATACATATTTGGCCTAGAACCTAGCTATAATTAGTGTACATTTTATTTCTGTTCAATGTTGAGGACTTTTCAACAACCACCAAGATTTATCTAAAGCCAAGTAAATCTCTGTATTGTATAATTTCTTTGTATTTCAAACATTTTCACTTATAAGTAAAATTTTCAGCTTGACCAATTTATTGTTGCTTATGTCCAGTGGCAAACATTTGAAGACACAAACAATTAGCCAGGAGTACTCCTTCAATATTATACAGAATAACTAACTTATACAAAATATGTCTTGTTTTCTTGTGTCCTTCAGTTGCTATCTCAGCAATTTTAATGCCTAATGTACGTATTAAACTCCAGTCAAAATTGTAAAGGTGCTAGTCCAGTTCTTGCAATTTAAATGTTATATACATAAATATTTTGTTATTGGTTGCTGCATGTACATGCGAGAAAACTACCCTTACATTTAATCAGTTGGGGCTTCTTTTTTTCCAACTGAACAACATATCTTCAAATATTATCAGATACTGTTCAAAGGGGAATAATCCTTGCATATCAATTGATTAACTTTTCTCTTCTGGTACCAGTCTTGTATTACAACTCTAGTTTCCGGTGCATGTCAAAACATGGAGGGAAATAAAATAGACCATTTTTTTCTGAATTTTTTTCTGGACTCAATTTTTTCTGTTTGATTAATAGTTTATACTGAATTGAAACATATATATAGATTTAAAAAAATCTTGCATCTTTTTGGGGATATCAATCCAGGAAAGTGGAAGGATATCATGTTTACTGGAAGTGGTGCGGCCTAGTAAAAACAGCAAACAGAAAGTAGAAAAAAATAGTTTTGACTTCAGGGTTACATAACTTTTTATTCTTCGTGGCATGACCCACTTTTTTTTCGATTAAATCACAATTTCACATTAGTACATACATAATATGAACATGAAAAAAATTTTCTATGTAGCATTTTTTATTTTTCTATTTTCAAAGATCAGCTGTTTAGCATGTAAGCCTATGGATCAGTCAATTACAAGACTGGAACCTGCATAATGTGCATGCACTAACTATTCACTGTTCTATTAGGTCGCATTTTATTATTTCATTGTCAAAAAAAATATCATTGTAATCATAGTATGAAATTTAAAACCCGCAAGGGTCCATAATTGGTCAAATAAAGAATTTCTATTTCTATACCCCAGATCTCTCACACTACAACTATAATTTTCATATGCAAGAATTAAACACAATCTTCTTTCTTTATCTTTTATCAGTTTGTTTTACACCTGTTTCTGTATCTTTAGGCTGTAGACAATATATTGATGTCAAAATGTGACTTGGTTTGTTTGTGACATTGGATTAGTGTCACATTGAAGTATACCCAATATGATAACCTTTTATTCATATAAGGGTGAGTGTGTCTTGCTTATTAGCTATATATAGTCAATGTATTCCAGACAATAAATACAAAGTAAACATTGGAATTCCTAAAATATTGAAGTTAATAATTCTCACCATTAATAAATCCACTAAGAAGTTCCAGATTCCCTCTTCTAACATCTCATGGTGCTGATCTGTATATTCTGAAAAACTGCATCAGAAAAACTCAACATTAAATCAGGAAAAATGCATCATATGTCAACTTAAAATCTGACAGATGGATAGATATTTAAATAAGAACTCAATGCTGTGATAAATATTTAAATAAGAACGTGTGATAAAAGCGGTTCTATTAAATCATACACAGTACACAGGAAAGGCAACATTAGGTGACCAGGCAGCTATAGAGACACCTTGAACATTGAGGTACTTTTAGATTTCTTTACGATGTACACTGTACAAAAATGTCTTTACACCAAAAATGCAACCCATAGATAAGATTTCTAAGTGCCTTCCATGGGTTCAGTGTCTGGTTTTGAGGTACAGAATATATATCTAGCTTTGCCTCAATCTATAATATAACATTTATGTGTTGTTTAATTGTTATCTTGATGACTTATATTCCACATCTTTTTTTAAAAATTAATTCTTGTACAACCTTGTCAGTGACTTAGGCAACTTTTTTGTATCCAAAAATCCAATAATATTTACAGTTATGTTTGTTTACTCAATCATCTTACAATTCTTATATTCTATTTTTTTTTATACACAATTTGAGTAATACAATCTTCACAATAAACTTTAGCAGCCACAGGCCCAAAGTTGTTGTCGTAGGTTCATGTCTGTCATATTTATTTTTTGTAAATTGTTTTGTTATAAATAAGGCTGTTAGTTTTCTCAAATGAATTGTTTTATAATTTTGAGGTGCCTATAATTGCTTACATCCATTTCATTTGAACTTTGGTGGATAGTAGTCTCATTGGCAACCACACCACATCTCCTTATTCTTATATAAGAGTAACCCCTATAGACTTGTACCTTATTTTACAGAGTTCAGCCTGTATATATAATTGTTGTCGTTCCTCCCATGCCCTGTAGAATGTAACAGTTAGGATGAAGTGGAACCACACCTCCTTATTCTTATATAAGAGTAACCCCTATAGACTTGTACCTTATTTTACAGAGTTCAGCCTGTATATATAATCGTTGTCGTTCCTCCCATGCCCTGTAGAATGTAACACAGTTAGGATGAGGTGGAAGTGTCTCATGCTTGGCTACTTCTTCTAGCTTCCTCCTTCTACAAAATAGCAATGCTATCTTAATGTTTAGTAAATCATTGTAAACATTGGTAAGATGAGATACTGATCAATCATTGGTAAGGTCAGAAACTAATCAATCATTAGTATGACGAGATACTGATCAATCATTAGAAAATGAGATACTGATCAATCATTAGTAAGATGAGATACCGATCAATCATTGGTAAGATGAGACACCGATCAATCATTGGTAAGATGAGATACCGATCAATCATTGGTAAGATGAGATACTGATCAATCATTAGAAAATGAGATACCGATCAATCATTGGTAAGATGAGATACCGATCAATCATTGGTAAGATGAGATACTGATCAATCATTGGTAAGATGAGATACCGATCAATCATTGGTAAGGTGAGATACCGATCAATCATTGGTAAGGTGAGATACCGATCAATCATTGGTAAGGTGAGATACCGATCAATCATTGGTAAGGTGAGATACCGATCAATCATTAGTAAGATGAGACACCGATCAATCATTAGTAAGATGAGATACTGATCAATCATTAGTAAGATGAGACACCCATCAATCATTGGTAAGATGAGACACCCATCAATGATTGGTAAGATGAGATACTGATCAATCATTGGTAAGATGAGATACTGATCAATAATTCAGTGGTTATATTTGTAATTCTGTTCTCTTCCAAGGTCTTGAAAAGAAATTTGTTTTACAGGACATTTGGACTGACCAAGTCTGAAAATGTGTCAGTCCAAAATACATGAAATACATTTTCATCAGTCCAATTCTTTATTTCTATCTAAATATTCAATACCTTGTGTCAGACATTTGGACTGACATGGAATATATGTCAGACATTTCAAAGGAGTAGGGGCAATTAGGCCCTTATTTGGTCCAAATATTACTGCAAATTTAAAAGTTATACATATTCTGAAATTTGTCGTTACTAGACTAAGGTACCAAGCATCCAGAAAATAAAAACAAATTTCACCTTTAATATATGGGTCAATATCCCTAATACCCTCAAAGTGAGGAACTCAAAAAAGTTGTTTGTAAACAAAAAATCTCTGTGTAGTGATATTGGACATGTTTCTATTTTTAACAAGTGACTGAACTTAGCCAATTTTGTTGATTTGGAAAGTAGAGGATCACAGACATGACAGAATAAAAGTGTAAAAACTATAGAGTTATTGGATGTATGAAAAGTATTAAATTTCAAAAGAACTTATTGTGTGAAAAAAGGGATTTTTTACCATGAGGAGCTGCATCACAAAAGGATTTTCGGGGCGTGTTAATTTATGGAAAATGATTCTCACTTCATACCCAGAAAATTTAACCATATATCTGAAAATGTCTCAGCTTCGAAACTAGCCATCATACATAACCAAGTTTACGATATGGACTGAGCTACAGAAGAAACCGTTACCATTACCGGCTGTGGGAAATCCTAACCCATATGTCAGACATTTCAAAATTTATCAGTCAAATGATTCAAACTGACACTTTTCAAGAACTCTAACTGGGCATGTTATTTTTCACATTTTATTTTGCTTCAGCTTTCTTACCAAAAACTAAGCTCAAGATCACACATTCAAAATAAAGGTTAAAACTTCCTCGGGCAAAGTTGACCAGAAGATTACATGTCTTTTTTGTTATTTGATAGACGCATAAAACATGCTAAGTAGTCTATATCTAATATAATACCTGTCAGCATCACCCCTAAATCTTTCATGGGACCTCTTCACAGCATACAGTTTGCCATCTTCTTTACTTTTGACTTTATATACCTGTAATCACATATGAATAAAAGGACGGGTATGGTACATGTCAATAAGACAGAAAACTAACAACTCAATAAATACAAAAGACACCAATGTCAATTTTGTATAAAGAGATATGATTAAAAGCACCGTTTCTAAAAATGATAAACAAGATTTAAAAATACTGGTTATAACAAGCCAGAATATTCAACTACTTCTGTCCACCTCTTAATATTGATAGCAGACTTCATGAGATTTTTTTCCCTGGTGGACCTTGAAGAAAATCTGCTATTAACCTATCTATTATTTCTACAGCAAAATACCAAAATGGTATCTGTCCTGTGCAAAATGTCTGTGGTCAAATCCCTCGGACCACCTCTTTTCGGGAACTCTGATTGATAGTCGCTATTTGTGTTGTTAAAGTCACATTTGTTTATTACTTAACTGATTAAAGCATTGTAAAATGACTTACTAAATCTACTCAATATACAGCATTTTGTACAGAAGTTAATTGTATGAATTCAAATAACTCTTTAAATTGCCCAATAAAACGAACATTATATATGACATCACTCGTTTTCCATACCTGCATGTCTGTAAAATTCAACTCAAATTACCAGCATTTTGAACAGATATATCATGTTAAGGAGGGGTATTTACGAAAAATACCAGTCGAGAGAATGTTAAATTTCGCAAGCCGTAAGGCGAGGGAAATTCATTCTCAAGACTGGTATTTTTTGCAAATACCCCTCAAGAACATGCTATATCTGTTTAATTACACCGAATGTTAATGTTCAAAAACGCATTGATGATCGTGACGTTACAAGCGTCCAGTCGGATAGAGTATTTTTTGGCAAATACCATGGCAGAGAGGGTAAAAAAGGCATATCCTTTTTGCATATACACCGGCGGCGTTAAAAAATGAACGATATTCATTTGATAACAGTAAATTGGTGAAAAATACACTGGTTATCAACCAATCAAAACCCAGGATTCTTACATAAGGTGTAATTAAAAATGAAAGATACATTATTGCAGTGTCAAATCGTTTTATACTTCCTATGCAGATGACCAGATCTGATTTCTCACGTTTAGAAAGTGGACATCTGTATGACTTACCTCTCCAAATGATCCCATACCAATCTTGCATATAATTTCAAACTCTTGCTCAAAATACAGATTTCTGTCATTGTTACTTGATTTACCAAGGAAAGCTGTGGAAATGTTAAGGTTACCGTAATGTTCTAGTTGTAAAATAAGGGGGAGAACTGCAACAATGTGTCACGATTAACCAGACTGATGTAGACTTTATATTGATTTTACTATAAATAAAAAGTTAAGCAGTCTTAGATGCATGATTTTTTTTATTAGCTGTTAGTGGCTTTGAACTAGCTGTCAGTAACTGCGAGTACTCTCAGATCTGTACTAAGTGTCTTTTTGTTGTTTGGATGTACAAGTACCCGGCCACGTCCACTTTTATTTGTAGTATTTGTATTTTTATCCATAACAAATTAAACAAAACAAGTCAGCTGAAAAGGAATCATATCCAACTACACATTTATTTTTTTATTGAATATTTCTGGCCATTAACCCTTTAGCCCCCAATCCCGCCTGTAGGCGTGATGGCGACAACCATTCTTTGATGGCCCGTATGACCCTCCATACCTTTTTTGAACTGCCCCAGCTGAACTGTCATGATAGCAGGGACTTCAACCAAGCAGTTCATGGTCCATAAACTCTTCTCAGATGTCTGTTCATGAAAATATGGCACTTTGAAAGCCGTTTAAGAGTTCAAAATCGGAAAAACGTAAAAAGTAGCCAAAATCAGGTGGGGGTGGGCATCTTTTGATGGCCACTACGTAACTGGTAGTGACTGTAGGTATAAACTATTATCATAAATGCATGCATAGGTGGTAAAGGAACACAACGAGGTATAATATGGCCAATAGGAATCTAGTCTGTAAAATCTAGGTCACCGTTTTGTCAAAAATCCGTAAAAACGGACATTTAGGCACACCTGACTTGACAATAATAATTCCCCAGCAAGACACTTAAGTCCAATATACTCCCAGTTAGCATGAATGGACTGCTGTAACTATAGGGTAATACTTGAATGACAAAGAAAAACAGTCTGGTCAATGTTCACCTCTCAAGGTCGTTTAAAAATCGGAAAATAGACGGAAAATTTACATTTTTCAGTGGGGGTGGGTTCAAACCCACGAGAAAATATTCCACCTCCCACCCCACCCCCCACCCATGCCATCCGCCCCCAAATCTCAATACATAGTTTAATAGATGAGCATCAGTTACAGCATCAAGAGTCTGCTAATTTGCATATAATTTGCATATGATTGCAAATTTTCGAAAATGCCTGATTTTCCAGAAATCTCTTGGGGGCGAATGAGTTAAACTAAAAATATTTTTTTCCCGATTTTCAACCTCTAAAGAGTGTTTTGGTCAGTTTTACACCCCAAAACGACCCTCAAACCCAACAGAAGTCAAATTTAAAAATTTTGATCAAATCGTTTAACCCTTTAGCCCCCAATCCCGCCTGTAGGCGTGATGGCGACAACCATTCTTTGATGGCCCGTATGACCCTCCATACCTTTTTTGAACTGCCCCAGCTGAACTGTCATGATAGCAGGGACTTCAACCAAGCAGTTCATGGTCCATAAACTCTTCTCAGATGTCTGTTCATGAAAATATGGCACTTTGAAAGCCGTTTAAGAGTTCAAAATCGGAAAAACGTAAAAAGTAGCCAAAATCAGGTGGGGGTGGGCATCTTTTGATGGCCACTACGTAACTGGTAGTGACTGTAGGTATAAACTATTATCATAAATGCATGCATAGGTGGTAAAGGAACACAACGAGGTATAATATGGCCAATAGGAATCTAGTCTGTAAAATCTAGGTCACCGTTTTGTCAAAAATCCGTAAAAACGGACATTTAGGCACACCTGACTTGACAATAATAATTCCCCAGCAAGACACTTAAGTCCAATATACTCCCAGTTAGCATGAATGGACTGCTGTAACTATAGGGTAATACTTGAATGACAAAGAAAAACAGTCTGGTCAATGTTCACCTCTCAAGGTCGTTTAAAAATCGGAAAATAGACGGAAAATTTACATTTTTCAGTGGGGGTGGGTTCAAACCCACGAGAAAATATTCCACCTCCCACCCCACCCCCCACCCATGCCATCCGCCCCCAAATCTCAATACATAGTTTAATAGATGAGCATCAGTTACAGCATCAAGAGTCTGCTAATTTGCATATAATTTGCATATGATTGCAAATTTTCGAAAATGCCTGATTTTCCAGAAATCTCTTGGGGGCGAATGAGTTAAACTAAAAATATTTTTTTCCCGATTTTCAACCTCTAAAGAGTGTTTTGGTCAGTTTTACACCCCAAAACGACCCTCAAACCCAACAGAAGTCAAATTTAAAAATTTTGATCAAATCGTTTAACCCTTTAGCCCCCAATCCCGCCTGTAGGCGTGATGGCGACAACCATTCTTTGATGGCCCGTATGACCCTCCATACCTTTTTTGAACTGCCCCAGCTGAACTGTCATGATAGCAGGGACTTCAACCAAGCAGTTCATGGTCCATAAACTCTTCTCAGATGTCTGTTCATGAAAATATGGCACTTTGAAAGCCGTTTAAGAGTTCAAAATCGGAAAAAACGTAAAAAGTAGCCAAAATCAGGTGGGGGTGGGCATCTTTTGATGGCCACTACGTAACTGGTAGTGACTGTAGGTATAAACTATTATCATAAATGCATGCATAGGTGGTAAAGGAACACAACGAGGTATAATATGGCCAATAGGAATCTAGTCTGTAAAATCTAGGTCACCGTTTTGTCAAAAATCCGTAAAAACGGACATTTAGGCACACCTGACTTGACAATAATAATTCCCCAGCAAGACACTTAAGTCCAATATACTCCCAGTTAGCATGAATGGACTGCTGTAACTATAGGGTAATACTTGAATGACAAAGAAAAACAGTCTGGTCAATGTTCACCTCTCAAGGTCGTTTAAAAATCGGAAAATAGACGGAAAATTTACATTTTTCAGTGGGGGTGGGTTCAAACCCACGAGAAAATATTCCACCTCCCACCCCACCCCCCACCCATGCCATCCGCCCCCAAATCTCAATACATAGTTTAATAGATGAGCATCAGTTACAGCATCAAGAGTCTGCTAATTTGCATATAATTTGCATATGATTGCAAATTTTCGAAAATGCCTGATTTTCCAGAAATCTCTTGGGGGCGAATGAGTTAAACTAAAAATATTTTTTTCCCGATTTTCAACCTCTAAAGAGTGTTTTGGTCAGTTTTACACCCCAAAACGACCCTCAAACCCAACAGAAGTCAAATTTAAAAATTTTGATCAAATCGTTTAACCCTTTAGCCCCCAATCCCGCCTGTAGGCGTGATGGCGACAACCATTCTTTGATGGCCCGTATGACCCTCCATACCTTTTTTGAACTGCCCCAGCTGAACTGTCATGATAGCAGGGACTTCAACCAAGCAGTTCATGGTCCATAAACTCTTCTCAGATGTCTGTTCATGAAAATATGGCACTTTGAAAGCCGTTTAAGAGTTCAAAATCGGAAAAACGTAAAAAGTAGCCAAAATCAGGTGGGGGTGGGCATCTTTTGATGGCCACTACGTAACTGGTAGTGACTGTAGGTATAAACTATTATCATAAATGCATGCATAGGTGGTAAAGGAACACAACGAGGTATAATATGGCCAATAGGAATCTAGTCTGTAAAATCTAGGTCACCGTTTTGTCAAAAATCCGTAAAAACGGACATTTAGGCACACCTGACTTGACAATAATAATTCCCCAGCAAGACACTTAAGTCCAATATACTCCCAGTTAGCATGAATGGACTGCTGTAACTATAGGGTAATACTTGAATGACAAAGAAAAACAGTCTGGTCAATGTTCACCTCTCAAGGTCGTTTAAAAATCGGAAAATAGACGGAAAATTTACATTTTTCAGTGGGGGTGGGTTCAAACCCACGAGAAAATATTCCACCTCCCACCCCACCCCCCACCCATGCCATCCGCCCCCAAATCTCAATACATAGTTTAATAGATGAGCATCAGTTACAGCATCAAGAGTCTGCTAATTTGCATATAATTTGCATATGATTGCAAATTTTCGAAAATGCCTGATTTTCCAGAAATCTCTTGGGGGCGAATGAGTTAAACTAAAAATATTTTTTTCCCGATTTTCAACCTCTAAAGAGTGTTTTGGTCAGTTTTACACCCCAAAACGACCCTCAAACCCAACAGAAGTCAAATTTAAAAATTTTGATCAAATCGTTTAACCCTTTAGCCCCCAATCCCGCCTGTAGGCGTGATGGCGACAACCATTCTTTGATGGCCCGTATGACCCTCCATACCTTTTTTGAACTGCCCCAGCTGAACTGTCATGATAGCAGGGACTTCAACCAAGCAGTTCATGGTCCATAAACTCTTCTCAGATGTCTGTTCATGAAAATATGGCACTTTGAAAGCCGTTTAAGAGTTCAAAATCGGAAAAACGTAAAAAGTAGCCAAAATCAGGTGGGGGTGGGCATCTTTTGATGGCCACTACGTAACTGGTAGTGACTGTAGGTATAAACTATTATCATAAATGCATGCATAGGTGGTAAAGGAACACAACGAGGTATAATATGGCCAATAGGAATCTAGTCTGTAAAATCTAGGTCACCGTTTTGTCAAAAATCCGTAAAAACGGACATTTAGGCACACCTGACTTGACAATAATAATTCCCCAGCAAGACACTTAAGTCCAATATACTCCCAGTTAGCATGAATGGACTGCTGTAACTATAGGGTAATACTTGAATGACAAAGAAAAACAGTCTGGTCAATGTTCACCTCTCAAGGTCGTTTAAAAATCGGAAAATAGACGGAAAATTTACATTTTTCAGTGGGGGTGGGTTCAAACCCACGAGAAAATATTCCACCTCCCACCCCACCCCCCACCCATGCCATCCGCCCCCAAATCTCAATACATAGTTTAATAGATGAGCATCAGTTACAGCATCAAGAGTCTGCTAATTTGCATATAATTTGCATATGATTGCAAATTTTCGAAAATGCCTGATTTTCCAGAAATCTCTTGGGGGCGAATGAGTTAAACTAAAAATATTTTTTTCCCGATTTTCAACCTCTAAAGAGTGTTTTGGTCAGTTTTACACCCCAAAACGACCCTCAAACCCAACAGAAGTCAAATTTAAAAATTTTGATCAAATCGTTTAACCCTTTAGCCCCCAATCCCGCCTGTAGGCGTGATGGCGACAACCATTCTTTGATGGCCCGTATGACCCTCCATACCTTTTTTGAACTGCCCCAGCTGAACTGTCATGATAGCAGGGACTTCAACCAAGCAGTTCATGGTCCATAAACTCTTCTCAGATGTCTGTTCATGAAAATATGGCACTTTGAAAGCCGTTTAAGAGTTCAAAATCGGAAAAACGTAAAAAGTAGCCAAAATCAGGTGGGGGTGGGCATCTTTTGATGGCCACTACGTAACTGGTAGTGACTGTAGGTATAAACTATTATCATAAATGCATGCATAGGTGGTAAAGGAACACAACGAGGTATAATATGGCCAATAGGAATCTAGTCTGTAAAATCTAGGTCACCGTTTTGTCAAAAATCCGTAAAAACGGACATTTAGGCACACCTGACTTGACAATAATAATTCCCCAGCAAGACACTTAAGTCCAATATACTCCCAGTTAGCATGAATGGACTGCTGTAACTATAGGGTAATACTTGAATGACAAAGAAAAACAGTCTGGTCAATGTTCACCTCTCAAGGTCGTTTAAAAATCGGAAAATAGACGGAAAATTTACATTTTTCAGTGGGGGTGGGTTCAAACCCACGAGAAAATATTCCACCTCCCACCCCACCCCCCACCCATGCCATCCGCCCCCAAATCTCAATACATAGTTTAATAGATGAGCATCAGTTACAGCATCAAGAGTCTGCTAATTTGCATATAATTTGCATATGATTGCAAATTTTCGAAAATGCCTGATTTTCCAGAAATCTCTTGGGGGCGAATGAGTTAAACTAAAAATATTTTTTTCCCGATTTTCAACCTCTAAAGAGTGTTTTGGTCAGTTTTACACCCCAAAACGACCCTCAAACCCAACAGAAGTCAAATTTAAAAATTTTGATCAAATCGTTTAACCCTTTAGCCCCCAATCCCGCCTGTAGGCGTGATGGCGACAACCATTCTTTGATGGCCCGTATGACCCTCCATACCTTTTTTGAACTGCCCCAGCTGAACTGTCATGATAGCAGGGACTTCAACCAAGCAGTTCATGGTCCATAAACTCTTCTCAGATGTCTGTTCATGAAAATATGGCACTTTGAAAGCCGTTTAAGAGTTCAAAATCGGAAAAACGTAAAAAGTAGCCAAAATCAGGTGGGGGTGGGCATCTTTTGATGGCCACTACGTAACTGGTAGTGACTGTAGGTATAAACTATTATCATAAATGCATGCATAGGTGGTAAAGGAACACAACGAGGTATAATATGGCCAATAGGAATCTAGTCTGTAAAATCTAGGTCACCGTTTTGTCAAAAATCCGTAAAAACGGACATTTAGGCACACCTGACTTGACAATAATAATTCCCCAGCAAGACACTTAAGTCCAATATACTCCCAGTTAGCATGAATGGACTGCTGTAACTATAGGGTAATACTTGAATGACAAAGAAAAACAGTCTGGTCAATGTTCACCTCTCAAGGTCGTTTAAAAATCGGAAAATAGACGGAAAATTTACATTTTTCAGTGGGGGTGGGTTCAAACCCACGAGAAAATATTCCACCTCCCACCCCACCCCCCACCCATGCCATCCGCCCCCAAATCTCAATACATAGTTTAATAGATGAGCATCAGTTACAGCATCAAGAGTCTGCTAATTTGCATATAATTTGCATATGATTGCAAATTTTCGAAAATGCCTGATTTTCCAGAAATCTCTTGGGGGCGAATGAGTTAAACTAAAAATATTTTTTTCCCGATTTTCAACCTCTAAAGAGTGTTTTGGTCAGTTTTACACCCCAAAACGACCCTCAAACCCAACAGAAGTCAAATTTAAAAATTTTGATCAAATCGTTTAACCCTTTAGCCCCCAATCCCGCCTGTAGGCGTGATGGCGACAACCATTCTTTGATGGCCCGTATGACCCTCCATACCTTTTTTGAACTGCCCCAGCTGAACTGTCATGATAGCAGGGACTTCAACCAAGCAGTTCATGGTCCATAAACTCTTCTCAGATGTCTGTTCATGAAAATATGGCACTTTGAAAGCCGTTTAAGAGTTCAAAATCGGAAAAACGTAAAAAGTAGCCAAAATCAGGTGGGGGTGGGCATCTTTTGATGGCCACTACGTAACTGGTAGTGACTGTAGGTATAAACTATTATCATAAATGCATGCATAGGTGGTAAAGGAACACAACGAGGTATAATATGGCCAATAGGAATCTAGTCTGTAAAATCTAGGTCACCGTTTTGTCAAAAATCCGTAAAAACGGACATTTAGGCACACCTGACTTGACAATAATAATTCCCCAGCAAGACACTTAAGTCCAATATACTCCCAGTTAGCATGAATGGACTGCTGTAACTATAGGGTAATACTTGAATGACAAAGAAAAACAGTCTGGTCAATGTTCACCTCTCAAGGTCGTTTAAAAATCGGAAAATAGACGGAAAATTTACATTTTTCAGTGGGGGTGGGTTCAAACCCACGAGAAAATATTCCACCTCCCACCCCACCCCCCACCCATGCCATCCGCCCCCAAATCTCAATACATAGTTTAATAGATGAGCATCAGTTACAGCATCAAGAGTCTGCTAATTTGCATATAATTTGCATATGATTGCAAATTTTCGAAAATGCCTGATTTTCCAGAAATCTCTTGGGGGCGAATGAGTTAAAGCCAAAAAATGTGGAAAAAGGTCATCTATCAAAGGATCAGTTCAATGGGAAACAGACATCTATTTCTTTTTGGCTTTAGAATAACACTTTCACATTACATTTACAATATAAATAAAAATAAAACTTGTATAAATAACTCTGACCAATGTCTGACAAAGATTGTAAAAAGGATACATCCATTGCTGTCTTGGCTTCTGAATGAGACAATCTGAGCTCTCTCCACTGGCCTATGAGGGAATATCCTACTAACTGGAGGTGCACTCTTCACTGGAGGTCTTGGTGGCAAGGAATCTCTAGGAGTCCCCTTTGCCTACAAGATAATGTCAATGAACATTTATACTACAGCCACAGTGGATTCACCATAATTCACAGAATACAATTTTTGTGGACTTTGTGGGTAAAGGTAAACCATGAAATTTTAAATGTTCAACAAAGTACAAATTTTCTTCAAGCTTGAATACAACTTTGGCAAAACCCAGAAGTTTCCGAATGACAGACATGACAGAGTTATCTTCCACTTCTTCTATGTTGTTGAAAAACGACACGTTTGCCAGTTACGCAGCTTACCGTAGAAAGGCTTGTATAGTTCGCACTGGTACATAGTCCGCACCCCCTTCTCCCCACAAAATTTTAGGTAAAAAAACTTTTTGTAACTGTTAGAAAAGGTCTAATGAAACTCCGGTAATTTCAAATCCTGTGCAGTCGTTTGCAGTATTTTCTTGGAAAAACCTGTTTTCCATCATCAAACAAGCTGAAACTGCTTGTAAATGATTCTAGAACACTTCACGATTGTTAAAATAAGTTTAATTCACTTAAAAAACAATTTAGAAACTTGTGTATGTTTAAACAGGAAGTTTAAAAAGCACGTGTAAAAGAAGAAATTAACCGGTGAGAGTCGAAATCCGTACATAACAGTTATCACTATAATACGACTTTGAAAGTAAAACAGTTCCATCCTTTTGTAAAACAGTCTTTAATATGTTTCTCTTATTTCTTGCTTATTGTACTCTATAGTCCGCACCCCGTCTGGAAGGTCCAATTTTGGAGAATAAAACCGTGGACTATACAAGCCTTTCTACGGTACGCTGATTTCACCGGGAAATTTGAATATTTTGACCTGAATGAAACGTTAGCCTGTCACGAAATAGAAGTTCCTTCATAATATTAGTTCCAAATGGAAAAAATATTCTGGAATATTATTTCCACTGGAATAAATATTACAGTATATGTTCCCAACGGAATAAATGGTATAGAATATTTGTTCCAACAGGAACAAATATTATGACATTGATTATGACAAAGTTTCCAGTGGAACTTCTGTTAGGCGGAACAAATATACGTTGACAGGCCAAGTATGAGTGTTGTGGATTGGAAAATCAATGCATACTTCTGATAGAAGAATCATTTAGGAAGGAAATGAGTGTCTTTGTAAGGTATAAAGTCACATAGAAATATTTTTAATTATTTTTTATTTAAAGATGGGTAAGCATGTAAGCTATTCAAAATGGCAACTTGGAACCTTTTGGATTTTTCAGTATACAGATATGGATAGTAAACTGCACATTGCTAGTAAACAAAGAAATATTTATGCCAACGTTACAAACTTGAGCAAAGTAATACAAATAGACTATTAATTTTACTTATACGAAAAGATTTGAAAAACATTGATAAATAAAATTTTAACCTGCTAACCGCATCCCCAAAATTGTTGTCAAAATTATGTTGTTGTTAAGGAATGGACAAACCTGAGAGTTTAATTATTGTGATTTCAGGAAAATCTGCATGCAGATATATGTGACAACAGAATGAGAGTTCTTATTATTGGATACTCACAGATTCACACAAGTCATTGTTCGCATAAATTTATGAAAACCTCACAATAATTTCAAAATTTACAGTCATCGTTAAGATAAAGAAAGAGACATATTAAAACATTTGTTTCCTGGATAAGATGTATTTGACAATAACCTGAATAGGTTGCCAAATTTAAATTAAGATATAGTGCTAATGCTAGTGCCCAGTTGTGGCTACACTGCATTTTTATTATTGGGTCACCTTTTTAGTGGAGAACGTTTGGACATCTTGAAAGAATCTTGGCGTTGGCCTTGGACTCGAAAATGCGTCCATAACGCCCTCTTTCTTAACCATAGTCGTAAAAACTTGTCATAGTTGCATGTCGACAATCTCAAATTTTAACTGATAAACACTGCACTTTCACATCACATCAAAACATTTCGCGGTATTTTGGTTATTGCAATCTGAAACGAGCACACCGATTGGATATTCTAAAATGTCAAAATTTAGCCCAAAAAATCTGAAGAAACAAACAAGCATATAGAGTGATAGAATACATTAAAGTTTTTTAATAATACAGTTGTCTTATATCGTTCAGTACTGAATGTCTTTTTCACAATTTCATTTTGCGAAACAATGAATACATTTTCCAGTAAAACTATTTATCCAATCAACTGCTTGCTTGTGGATTGCTCTTGGCCGGAAAATGGAAACGTGCCAAAATCTAAAAATAATTTAGACATATTCTAAAATGTTGACAATATTAATGGATTGGAACCAATAAAGTTTGCTGCGTGTCAAATTCACTGTGAACTTTTCAGACAAGACCCAAAACACAATTTAAGCGTATAGCATTTTTGTTTCATGAAATGTTGATGCAGACTGAGCATTTATATGTTACAGATTTTCAAACAATTTATAAAACTATGATGAATGTATAAGGCTTTGACAGGCATTATATAAAATGAATGAAAATACCTAGTATTAATTTGTTAAATGACTGAATTTTTTCAACAAATTGCCACGCGCGTACAGTTTCAGTCGGTAATTTGTAGAAAAATTGATTGACTGTAAATATATTTCGTGCATAGTTTAGGAGGAGAACAAATTGATAATAAATCAAATAAGTAAGTTCTGAAATGGATACCAATTATGAGGGGGGGGGGGCAAGGGTTTTAACTGTTATGCTGTTTTGGGGCAATTTAATTCTTTGTTATCTGTTATTCTGAAAATATATTTGCTGGTTAAATAATAGCTGTTATTGTCTTATTCCTTGTTGGCTGTTATTGGACTATTCAGTAGTTTTTTTGTTATCTGTTATTGTGAGAATGTATTTTCTGTTAACTGTTATTGAAAATTGGAATGTTAGCATTTTGACAGCCAATCTTCAGTAGAAATTGAATTGGGATCTTTCCACTAGTAACATTGTGATCCCGTATTCGGAGAAGGATTCAATTAACTTATAGACATTTGAATGGGTTTACAGTACACTAGTCATTTTTGGGGCCCTTTATGGCTTGCTGTTCGGTGTGAGCCAAGGCTCCGTGTTGAAGACCGTACTTTGACCTATATTAATGGTTTACTTTTACAAATTGTGACTTGGATTGAGAGTTGTCTCATTGGCACTCATACCACATCTTCTTATATTTAATCACAGACTCATCACATAAACATTTTAATATTAGTTGGGTCCAGGACCATTACAGTATTTTTACAAAATTTCCTTCTAGATACAAGCTTTTGATCATAAACAAGCTTTGGTCCAAGTTTGGTAAAAATCCAGGATATTTTAAGAAAGTTATTCAAATTTTAAAAACATTAACCACAGAGTGAATATTTGTGGATGCCCCTGGTGACGACGCCGCCGACGGAATGTGTGATCACTATGTCTCGCTTTTGCGACAAAAGTCGCAGACTCGACAAAAAGGAAAACATATGGCCAGGGATACCTGATGAGGATGGCAATTAAGTCCTAGTTCCATACGACCAGTTAACCTAAACACCTTTTATATAATAAGGAACACAGACTCAGCTCTATGATTCTTTTCTAAGAATAAACTCACTATCTAAATTACAAGCATGTGTGAGCTTCTTTAAAAGTACAAAAATAAATGCTGAAAAAAGTATTCTATAACAAAAAAATATTATCATACATTGAGTAAACCAATTCTAGATATATAACTCTAAAAACATGTTCATAGAAAATGGAATTCATTACAAAGGATTATAATAAGATATATACTGGATTTGTCCTGGACTCGACTGATTTTAATTATTCATTTACTGTTATCTGTTTTTATCCCTTTTCAATTCCTTGTTATCAGTTATAAGCCAAATCAATTTGCTGTTTTGCTGTTTTTGGAAACCCCCTTGCCCCCCCCCCCCCCCCTCAATTATGAACCATGACTTAAGATTAAATACAATGATTGATTTATTAGAAAACACTCAGACACATTTAAACGTGTAACATGAGGTCAAATATATAATACAATATATGTAAATAACATGACAGAAGAACAATTAAACATATTAAAGTCAATACACATAGCTCATTAGCATCAAACAGTGTGAATGATTATGCAGAAAGACAACAACACATATGGATCGAAATGACATATATCAAAGAAATACATTAACTTTTCTGATGAACAAGGATAGCTTTTTAATAAAAACATACACACACGCCAATCATTAAAACACCATTTACCAATTAAAAAAATACTATCAAGCTGGGAACAGTATATCTGAGAGGGTGGACAGGGGGGTACCCTTCTCCCAAACATTTAAATTACAATGATTAAATTTGTTTATATCATCATCTGTGGATTAAACAACAGCTGTGGTAATGGCTTTTATGCTTAATTAAACTTTTTTTAATTATAAAACATCAAAAACTACCTGAAAATGGTTAAAACAACAAACTGGTTATTGTATATAATCTGAGAGACTCCCTGATATCTCGGCCCATAACAAACTCTGACTATAACATAATCGGCCTCACAAAATCGGAATATAGCAAACTCGGACTATAACAAACTCGGACTACTAGAAGAATATAAGTATGATGTTGGATGTTATTTTCTATATTTGAAATTACTTATCAGTACTTAATTTTAAATTAATTATGATTTAGAATAATTAAACAATTTATTTTGAAAATTTTAAAAGCGAGAAATATAAATAACATTAACAAGATATAAAAAAAAGTAAGAATAAATTCATTTAATAATGAAAATCTACCACTTATTTGTCTTTTCTGTTATATTATTTTTATGTCCCTTCAAAATTATTGGATTGAACTGGAAATATGACATCATACTGCCATGTGTACTGTTGACACCTTATTAATCACCTTACTGATTAAAACTAATAACTGGCACATGTACTGTTGACAACTTTTAAATCACCCAAGTGAGAACAAAACTACGAAATTGTAATTAACTAAATATCCAGTAACTTCACAGTACCAGCTTGGGTCGCTATGTGTTTAACTGCATGGCGTTTTATGCCCTTTTTTGTAAGCAGACAGGAGCTGATATGAACATCAAAATTTGATTGATAGTCGATTTCAATGCCTAATAATTTTACTGTTTTTTCACATGTAAGGTTCGAATTTTGAATATGTATAGATGGGTTTTTTTTCAAAGGTCTTTTTGCCAACAGCCAAAACTTGAAACTTGTCGGGAATTGCTTGCATTTTATTCACCCGGAACCACGTAAAAAGTTTTTTTGACTCAGATTCAAAAGTTGAAATTATTAAATCAAAATCTGGATTACAAAAAGACAAAATATTGTCATCTGCATAGTTATATAAACTACCATTTTTAACAAAAAGAAAAATCTCATTTATAAATACGTTAAACAACAAAGGTCCTAGTATAGAACCCTGTGGTACGTCAATGCTTTCGTCATTCAATAATATTTAATAAAATACGAATACATATTCTATAAGACATCATGCAGAAATGTTAGAATTAATCGTATTTGTAGTTGTTGTAAAATGAATAATATGCTTATGCAATTAAGATTCTTTCAATTCAATTGGTGAATCCATTAATAAAGAATTACAGATTAATGAAATTGTTAACAAGCCATTCACTGTCAATCAAATTTCTCTTTGTTTTTACCAATTATGAACACCAAGGATTAAACACAATACAAATACATACACACGCCAATCATTAAAACATCTGTAATCAATAAAAAACATAAAAATACAAACGAAAAAATCACAATAATATTTCAAATAGAAGTTAATCAACCTCATTTAAAAATATCAAATTGTAACTTATATATCCCTTAAACTGTATCCCATATAAACACATATTTTATATGATGGATCTAAGTTTATTGTATATATACATTTCTTATATATATTTTTTCAAAAATATCTCATAAATTCGTATAGAATTTTTATATAATAATTAAATCTTTTTTAAAAGTAAAAAAAAAAACAGTTAACAACACAATCTACTAATCGTAGTCCGAGTTTGTTTAATTTATTTCTGCATATATATACATAATGGTAGGCCGAGTTTGTTATAGTCCGAGTTTGTGATAGTCCGAGTTTGTGATATGCCGATTTAATTTTCGTTTTAGTCCGAGTTATCCAGCAGCGATCTGAGACTACTATAACACATATATGTGTTATAGTGATAACACATATATGTGTTATAGTGGCTTAGATATAATTGATATAAGTTCATAAGCTTTTAAAAAGAAAACCAATTAAAACATTATTAAAAAATATTGAGAAAACTTGAAAATAGATTGATAAGATGTGGTATGAGTGCCAATGAGACAACTCTCCATCCAAGTCAAAATTTATAAAAGTAAACCATTATAGGTCAAAGTACGGTCTTCAACACGGAGCCCGGAAGTTGGCTTACACCGAACAGCAAGCTATAAAGGGCCCCAAAAATTACTAGCGTAAAACCATTCAAACGGGAAAACCAACAGTCAAATCTATATAAAAAACGAGAAACGAGAAAAATTTATGAACCACATCAACAAACGACAACTACTGAACATCAGATTCCTGACAAGGTTTAAAAAAGATAATTGGGGTGGGCTAGGCAAATTAAAAACGAACCATATCTTTGGATGAGACCATATTTTAGTATAAACCGCATTTTCCGGATACTGTTTAGTGTTTACTTTTATAAACAACGCTCATTCGAAACTATGCATTGTAGCTCTGTTTAATGGACGGTTATTCATGCGTTTTATAGAATGGAGCAATTAAAGGTTCAAACAAAAAAATATTTAACCTAGAAAAAGAGAAGAAATTACTATTCTGTTACAATTTTACTCCAAATTTTAACCATGCTGTTGTTTTTCTGAGCACTCGAATGCTGTAAATCCGTTGGAAAATCAAGAAATTCAGTTGAGATGTCGAGCAATGTGCCGATCCAGTCGACTGCCGGAGCAGTCCCTCTAAAAAATGAAAAAGGCAAGTATCCCCACAAGAAACGCAAGGCCAAGGGACTTACTTGTCTGCAGTGCAAATATATAGACTTTAAACGTCTACGTGCATTTCTAATTTCCAATAAATAAAACATGTACCACTGCTACTATGACTACTAATATGAGGCAGGCATTACCTGTGAAAGGGGACGAAGTCTGTATGATTTTTTTTTTTTTAATTCAAACATATTTTTACTTCAAAATCTGTTAAAAAAGAAACGGAAATACTGTAACGTTTCCGATTTCCGTTCTGTTGTGAGGGATTTTAGTTGTGACGTTATTTATGTTATAACGTCATATTCCAATGTAAACAAAGAAACGCTATCATCAGGTAACAGTTTTTCATATCAAGCCATAATTTCAAGGAATTAATATGAGGCAGGCATTATCTGTGAAAGGGGACGAAGTCTATATAAATTATTTTTTTTAATTCAAACATATTTTATGTTCTAAATCTGTTAAAAAAGAAACGGAAATACCGTAACGTTTCCGATTTTGGTACTGTTGTTAGGGATTTTAGTTGTGACGTTATTTTAGTTATGACGTCATATTTAATGTAAACAAAGAAACGCTATCATCAGGTAACGTTTTTTCATGTCAAAGAATAATTAGAAATGAAATTGTTATTGTGTTCCTTCCTATATTTTACTGGACTGATAAATATATACAGGGTTTAAGCTAGGATTTTGAGGGCTTTAGTCACTTTAGTGCGAGATTAAAATCAACATTATTTTGGGTAACAGCAAGGGACCAAGGATGTATGTTTATTACTAGCTATACATCTTTGTCAGACTTTGAAGGACTAAGGCATCAAATTACTAGGCAGTAATTGCATGATTTGACTGATGTGTCACTTAAATATGAAGATTAGGAAATAAGATCTGAAAATCTAGTTCAAAATTTTACTTGAATTAGTTTCAGGTGACATTCCTGTTCAACAAAAGTTGGGTTCTTATTGTTTAAAACAAGGAATAACTGAAAAAAAAGTCAGTATAAACAGGAACATATATAGACTAGATATACTGTTCCCAGGTATAAATGAACTTGTTGAACTTTGTAAGACTATTACACTGCATAATCATTATCCTTATAAGACATTTAAATCGATAATTTTGAAATAATTTCTATAAAGTTGGAACCAAGGATATGTACAAATTCACATGGGACGATTCAAATAAGTTAACTGTAAATTGTAAATTAATCAAGAATTTATCACATTTACTTTTGATTTCCAAATGAAATGTAAACGGGAAGTGACAAGTAGATAATAAATTCAGAATGAAACCGGATTCATCTATGGATTGGTTCGTTTTTAAAAAAAGGCAGGAAATAATCATTTTTTTATTTCAATTTGCTTAGTAAGAACTATATTTGTCTCTCTCATTAATATTGGCACTAAATTTATTTCGTATTTTATGTTTTAGCGTCTATAAATTCATAGGAAAACTTTCACGCATGCGCAGTATATCGTGAAGGAAGCACCTGTTTGACTCGTTGATGATGATGAAGTCTTTGACGTGAAAACATTTCTGAACGTTTTGAATAAAAGTTGTATCTTTTTAATCGAAATTGAACGTTTTATATTAAAGATGACGAAAATACGATCATTTGACGAAACTACGACAAACGAACTGCAAATTATGATTGTTTAAGAAATATTTGAAATTAAAAAGCGAACTGTCCGGGGGAAAACAATTCTGTTGAAATGACGAAATTACGACAAGCGAACTGCAAACTGTGGTCGTTGGACTTGAGAAATATTGAAATTAAAATGCGGACTGACTAATTTTACTGGGGAAAATAATTAACCGGATTAGTGACCCATCCGATGGTGATAAGCGGATTAGCTGTAATCACAACTTTATAACACCTGTTTTAAATGTTAATTAGCTGAGGGTCATAAACTTGTCAGAAACATGTAGACAGGTAGAATTATAGTATTTTCATGCGAAAATATTTTTACACTTTCAAAATTTAAGTGACGAAATTGATTTGAAATACTTTCGTCATTATGAAAACAGTTTCGTAAATTACGAAAGTGACGAGCGCTAGCAAAATCACTGAATATATATTTCACTCAAAGTCTAATGACAAACGAGACCGGAAGAAGGAAGTAGATTTCTGCGCAAATGCGGGAATTAAAAAAAGTTACAAAAGAAAAGTTAACAATTTTGAGTTCGTTAGTACAATGAAAATTTCGGGAAATTTTCCCGATTTTTTTTTTTTATTGATTTTTCTACTGTAATAGGGGACTTTGTCCCCTTATTAAAACTGAAACTGGTATTGCGTTCCTTCCTATATTTTACTAGACTGATAAATATATATTTTACTCAAAGACTCATACAAACGAGACCGGAAAAAGGAAGTAGATTTCTGCGCAAATGCGGGAAAACAAAAAAGTCTGAAAATAAAAAAGTTAACGATTTTGAGTTCATTAGTAGAATGAAAATTGATTTTTTTTTTTTTTTTTAATTTTATTGATTTTTCTACCGTAATAGGGGGACTTCGTCCCCTTATGAAACATCCACAAATTATGGTGGAAAGCTGATAATATTGAATCGGGACCCTGACTTAGTTCGCCCTGCCCTAAATTATAAGAGTGTTGCTTAAATTTTAGTTTTCCATGAAGACTAAAGTGTTAATACCTGCCAACTTTCAAAATCTACTGTTGATATATTTAGCACTTTTCAAAATATGTTTATAATGAAGAAGAAAAAAACAAGTAACTGTGAACAACTCTAACAATTCATGATTGATTGATTGATGTTGGTGTTAAACCCAACTTTCAGCACACTTGACTAAAATTTTGGTGGCCAGTATTTTTTTCATACGAAGGTAGTCCATGTAGTCGGAATATCCAAAGTGAAATATCTACCTTGACTGGTAAACTTTCAAGTGATTCCTAATCCATTCCATCAAGTTGACCATGCTGAGACAAATGTATGGAATTATAATAAATTTGATTTGGATCATCAGTTTTAGTAGATTTTTATGTTTTGGAAGAAAAAAATACATCGAAAGTAATAATGGCAGAGAGCATGCTGGGTTGGTGTGGCCTGTTTTCATTGTCATTCAATTTATCCTTTTATGTATCTTCTTCCACCTCAGAGCTATCAGCTCTTTGATTATTTTATTTTGTTGTCTTGTTGTGTAATGTAAATTATTTGAATAAAGTATGCGAAAGTTTGTTGAAAATTTCACCCAATATTTATTTTGTATTAGGGCACCTAAGACTTTTGGCTTCACTTTTGTAAACTCATGAAACCAATAATCTGATAATATTGTGTGAACAAATTCATAACACTTTAATTTCATGAAATCTTCTTTATGTATGGTTTCACCTTTGTGTAATGCGTGTCCAAACTAGGGAAACCTCTGTTTTGACAGTTCTTCAAATGTCAGGTGATTTCGTGCATGCCTTCTTAAAATAGCTAATTTGAATAAAGGATAGATTTTACACTACAAAATATAGTTCAGTTTGAACCAAACGGACTGCCAAGAATGCGGAGCAAATTGTATTTCATTTTGATTAAATTTGACTTAAAATGAAACCAATTTTATCTGTTGATAAAAGTTTTTGTAAAAAAAATGTCAAAATATGGTTAATCATGGTATTGCAAGATTTCATAAATTTATGCTTGAACTTATCAATGGAAATCTTTTCAGTCCGTTCGATGACAAACAATTACAAGAACGATTTTTCTTGTGTTACATTGCAGATTTGACGAAATCAGGTAATGCACGATATCACTGTACGCCTGGTCACAGGGTTGAACGCCTGGTCAGTGTGGTCACCATTGATTTTCCTACAAGAAATTGGTTTCTTCTGTTTGATAAACAGCTTGGTTTATTGCCTTCAGATGTTCAACTTTACACAACTAAGAACTTACATGTAGTAGAAGTAAATGAAGTTCTTGTAGATATGCAAATTCATGTCAATCTTACATCAGGAGAACAGGCCAACCTTGTTCTTTTTTTCTCATCACTTGGCTTCCATCGTCATCGTCAGTTAACTTTTACAAAAAAATTCTTCTCTGAAACTACTGGACCAAATTTAACCAAACTTGGCAGCAAGCATCATTGGGGTATCTAGTTTAAAAAATATGTCAGATGACCCAGCCTGCCAACCAAGATGGCTGTAATGGCTAAAAATAGAACAATAGGGTAAAATGCAAGTTTTGTCTATTATTTTGAAAATCGTTATAAATAGAGAAAATCTGACAGTAGCAAAAATGTTCAGAATGTTGAGTTCTACCTATTGTCCATATATATCAAAACTGTCAGACGACTTCTTATAGGAGTTATTGCCCATAAATGACAAATTTGACCATTTTTGTCTATTATCTTGAAAACAATAATAGATAGAGAGAAACTTTAAAGTGCAAAAATGATCAGCAAGACAGGTTCTACAAATAGGTTCCATGGACGAAATCATCAGTCGACTCCTTATTAGAGTTATTGCCCTTTGAAGACGATTTTTACCAATTTTTTGCTTTTTGCCTTATATCTTAAAAATTATAATAGATAGATAGAAACTTAAATAAGCAAAAATGATCAACAAGACAAGATCTACAATAAAGACAATATGGAGGAAATCATCCAACAACTCCTTATTGGAGTCATTGCCCTTTAATGACGATTTTTGCCATTTTTTTTGCGTTTTGTCATATATGAAAAAAATTATAATAGATAAACATGATAAATAGACACTTTTAAATAAAAAAAATTATCAGCGAGGCAAGATCTACTAACAAGTCAAATTTTGCTGATTTAATTAGTAGACTGTCACTCTTTATAGGAGTGATTGTCCTTAAATGAGGATTTTTTTACCCTCTTTTGTGTTTTGAGCAAAAACTAAAGAAGATATAGAGAAACTAAACAGACTAAACATGCTAAATGATCAGCAATACAAGATCATCAAAACAAAGATTTTTGTAATGAATTCTATTCTCGTCTATAATGTTGGAGAGTGTCCTTTGTTGAATATGCACATAGACCAAGGTGAGCAACACAGACTCTTTAGAGCCTCTAGTTTTGAATAGCTTTGACATTTAACATTACCCTTTCAAAGGAGCTGTAGACACACCTTTGATATCTGCATTTTTTGCGTCGTGAGATTTACAAAAAAATGCATAACACTATGAATTATGAAGATGTAACAGGCATTTGTTAATAAAGGTTAACAAAACACTAGCTGGTACATGTAACAAGCTTACATTTCCTCCCTAATAACAACTGTCTGATATATTATTTGTTATTTATCAACTCTAACTGTGTGTTCATGTACATAGGGTAATTGGAAGGTATAATATATATCAGTCTGGGGAATTACTGAAATAAGTAAATATAAATCACTCATTTAAGTAGCAAATAAGAGATTCTGTGATTTTGTAGTTTTACCAAAATTTTAAACATACAGGTTTAGATTATATCTAATAATTAGTAAAATAAAAAAAAAAAGAATCTTTTGCTTCTTTTACATTGTTTTAGTAGCAAGGTTTATGCCTTTGATGCAATCATTCATCTGTGAATCCAATATTTGTTGAAAAAAATGCTATAATGGAGGCTTTACATAATGAATTAATACTTTCTTATTTAAACAGATTTTTACTAGCAGTGGGAGTATTTTTCCTGTAAAATTCAAGGTTTCATATGCATCTTACAGATTATGTAATAAGATTTTACTGTTTGCGACCAAAATTTTACTGTTCAAGGGTGTTGAAATTAGTGGGGGTAATCAAAATAATAATTCTTAAACTCATTCTTAAAGAAGTGATTTTTTGGAAGAAAATAGAGGTATGATACATGTACTTAAGCAAGTGATTTTCATGTCATTATCCCAGATTCAGTACAAGGTCATCACCTGACATGACCTGTCATCCTATAAACATAGATGTTGGTTCTGATAATTTTAGCATCATAATTTGTCCTAGGATCATTAGTCATGTTAGTATTATAAATCAAATCAAATCTAATCAAATATTTTATTATTCCAATCAGGGTCCCACAGGGGGCATTTACAATTAACAATTATGATAGTATAAGCAACAAACATGAGACATTGTACAGTATATAACGTGACAGATATTATAATAGACAAATGGAAATAGCATTTATAACAAAAATACATTAAAAGTACTCTTGAGTATTTTTTTCCTTCCTTCCTTATTACCATTATCATTTCTATGTCCAGCAGTGTAAAAAAAAAAAAAAAAAAAAATGAATTCCACTTAACTTAGACCAGATAATTCTACAGGATATGAAGTTTTGCATCTGGCTGCTATTTTATTTTTTTATCTGCCTGAATTTGTGGTTTATTATACCTAAACATGACTTCACCATTTTTATGACCCCTCCGTTGGTAACGGGGGCATTTTAAGTGTTACCCTTGACCATCTGTCCATCCTCCTTTCCGTCCATCCCATTTTCGTTTCCACACTCCAACTTTAGATTGCCTCATGCAAATTTTATGAAACTCATGTACAATGCTAAGAACCACAACAGGCACACACATTTCGAATTTGGGTTGTGAGTCATTTACCGTTCTAGAGTTATGTCTCTTTTTAACTTCGAAAATTGCAAAGCTAGAATGGGGGCATTCATGTCCTCAGACACATTCTTCTTTTATTGTTAATATTATTTGGAGGCAGCATGCCACATATTTGAAAAATTCAGTTGACCCTTTTGCTGAAAAAAATCAGGAATAAGATCCTGTCAGGGCAAAAAAAGTATGGTGGCTTCCCAAAGAAGAAATATTGACATAATTGAATTTCATAAAAATGATTTAAATCATGAATACTTTTTACAGGTCAAGTTTATATGCAAAAGGTCAAAGTTAACAGATATGTAACCGGTAAAAGGTAAGTTAAATCAGAGGCAAAGTTTTCTAAATTTAATTTAAATTTGAATAATGTAGATATCTTTTTGAGCATTTATCTATGCATTGAGTGGTTATCCCAATCTTTTTTAAATCCATAATAGAAATAGAAATTCTTTATTCCCTCATCATGGACCCTTGCCAGTTTGAAATTTTGTTCTATGACAATACAGAATTATAGAACAATGAATAGTCAGTGTATGCACAGTCATGGGAGAGAAAATTTAATAGGGGAGACAATCATTTAATATTGTATGGATTATTTCCCTTTTAACAGTATCTAATAAAATTTCAAGATCTTGTATTTCAATTGCAAACATGTTATTGTTTGTTGCCCTGAAGTTTTATGACAAAAGATTAAAACAGTTTTCTTTTTGTTGATGTAAAGATATTTATCTCCCTGTTGTTTCCCTATAAATCTTCGTGTTTATATACGATTAATCTCTCTGTTAATGCACTCTTTATCTCTCTATTGACATAAAGTATCTCTATTGATACACTATTTACATGATTCATCTGCCTGATGATTTAGAGATAACTGTAATGTATTTGAAGCTTTGCGGACGTCCATCGGTAGTTTTACTGTCGCAAATTTAGTTTACCTGGTGACACGTAGCGGAGACAGGTAAACAGGTATTTGCGACAGTAAAACTACAGATGGACGTCCGCAAAGCTTCAAATACAATACAGTTATCTCTATTCTAATGCAAATTAAACAAATCATTCAATTTTAGTCATTATTTCAATGTAAATTTTTCATTCAACAAAAATTCCACGAAATGATGTTATCTTATTTTCCACCTAAACTACATGTAGGTGACGTCATAGGTGTGCTTCCAGCATCAAACGTAAACACCGGGCGTTTTCTGGCTTCTTGTCCGCTTCAAAATGTAATAAAATTTGATGAAAAGAAGATTTGTAGGTCCAAATGTGAGGTTTTTTTTGCTTATTATTGGAGAAATTACATGTCAATGTATTCCGGAATTCAAAATGTCTGCTTCCTTAGTTACAGACAGGGGAGATAGAGAATTTTACGCTTGTCTTCATCCAATCAGAGCCATTGACACAAAATAATTGCATTAGAATACAATATTCACTATTTATCTCTCATTTGATACACTATTTACATGATTTATCTGCCTGTTGATACAATGTTCACTATTTATCTCTCTATTGATACACTATTTACATGATTCATCTGCCTGATGATACAATATTCACTATTTATCTCTCAGTTGATACACTATTTACATTATTTATCTTCCTGTTGGTACAATGTTCATAATTTTTTGCTCAGTTGATACACTATCCCTCTTGATAAAATTGTATGTAAAGAATTGATATACTTCAGACCTGATTATGCAGCAGATTCCTCAAGTGAAGAAAGTGATGATGAGTTTGAACTTCAGCGACAGAAAAAAGCACCTAAGGAAGAACCAGTTGAACAAGAAGAAAAGGAACCAGAAGTGAAAGATCGTAGGTTAAGAAGATTACAGGACAGGGAGACAACTCAGGACAGTGATGAAGAGGACAGGTAAAGCCATTTATATGTGTTCACACTTTTTGTTTTTCTGGTATAGAACCACTAATTAAGGCCCGGTCGGAAAGAACATACAAGAAAGTAGTACATATTTTAAACAAAATAGTTCCTACACATAGCTGTATCTTTGTCAATAGGTGGAATATTTGGGTAGTTTTGGTATCAAATGAAAGCTTGGGGACTTGGGATCACTGTAGAACCCTTGTTGAAAGTTTCTTTTGAATAATAAAGAAGTATATACAATTTTTAATAGGAGGGCACATTTGCCCTGTTGTTCAGATCAGAAGTACCTGTTTTTGTACTATCAAACTTCCGGGAACCAGTACGCTCTAATATGCAATTAAAGGTATGTTAAATTTTTCAGCACAAGTCAGGATATGGTATAATTTTGACATGAAATAACTGCTACTTTATTTGAACTTAAGACAAAGTAGCCATCAATGCTTGAAATTGAAGAATTTAACATAGAAAGCAATGGGGCTATGAATTAGTGGTTTTATACCTTTCTCCTAGATTCCTATCAGATTTGATAAAAGTGGGATGTTGGCTAAAGAACAATGACCCAGCAACACAAGAGACAAAAGAACTAAAAAATATCTGCAAGACAACATACAGTATTTTTTTACAGTATTCAACAGCAGACACTATTTTGCATGTAGATCTTTTTAGCCAAATACAAGGGGATGTAATTCTGGTACAAGGGGATGTAATTCTGGTACACGGGGATGTAATTCTGGTACACAGGGATGTAATTCTGGTATATACTTACTTGCTGATGAGTGCATATATATATATGAGAGAAGAAACAAGTTTCACATACTAATTTTTTTCTACTTGCAAAAGTCATGTACATTTTGTAATTAATAATTCACAAAAACTAATTGGTTTACATGTACAATATTTGTGATTCTTTGACCCTTGACCGTGTTGATGAGTGATTTTGATTGGTTTACATGTACAATATTTGTGATTCTTTGACCCTTGACCGTGTTGATGTGAGATTTTGTGACAGTTGATCTATTAGCTGCAGACAACACTTACCCCGTCATATATTTTCTATTGTAACATAAAAAGTTAACAGGAACGTCTCAGTTGTTCTAGTTGTTGTGTAATGACTGACAAATAGAATTACAATTGCTAAGACAATTTATTGTACAACTTGTCCAAATCTCCCTGAGTAGAGAAAAGTTATTTGGAATGACTCAGTTGTACATGTATGTGATGTCCTGTAATAACAGACAAATAGCAATAAGATTGTCTAGTCAAATGACTGTAGAACTTGTCCATATCTCCCTGAGTAGAGAAAAGTTATTTGGAATGACTCAATTATACATGTATGTGATGTCCTGTAATAACAGACAAATAGCAATAAGATTGTCTAGTCAAATGACTATACAACTTGTCCATATCTACCCGAATAGAGAAAAGTTAATCGGAACAACTCAATTGTACATGTATGTGATGTCCTGTAATAACAGACAAATAGCAATAAGATTGTCTAGTCAAATGACTATACAACTTGTCCATATCTACCCGAGAAGAGAAAAGTTAATCGGAACAACTCAATTGTACATGTATGTGATGTCCTGTAATAACAGACAAATAGCAATAAGATTGTCTAGTCAAATGACTATACAACTTGTCCATATCTCCCTGAGTAGAGAAAAGTTATTTGGAACGACTCAATTGTACATGTATGTGATGTCCTGTAATAACAGACAAATAGCAATAAGATTGTCTAGTCAAATGACTATACAACTTGTCCATATCTCCCTGAGTAGAGAAAAGTTATTTGGAATGGCTCAGTTGTACATGTATGTGATGTCCTGTAATAACAGACAAATAGCAATAAGATTGTCTAGTCAAATGACTGTACAATTTGTCCATATCTCCCTGAGTAGAGAAAAGTTATTTGGAATGGCTCAGTTGTACATGTATGTGATGTCCTGTAATAACAGACAAATAGCAATAAGATTGTCTAGTCAAATGACTATACAACTTGTCCAAATCTCCCTGAGTAGAGAAAAGTTATTTGGAATGGCTCAGTTGTACATGTATGTGATGTCCTGTAATAACAGACAAATAGCAATAAGATTGTCTAGTCAAATGACTATACAACTTGTCCAAATCTCCCTGAGTAGAGAAAAGTTATTTGGAATGGCTCAGTTGTACATGTATGTGATGTCCTGTAATAACAGACAAATAGCAATAAGATTGTCTAGTCAAATGACTATACAACTTGTCCAAATCTCCCTGAGTAGAGAAAAGTTATTTGGAATGGCTCAGTTATACATATATGTGATGTCCTGTAATAACAGACAAATAGCAATAAGATTGTCTAGTCAAATGACTGTACAATTTGTCCATATCTCCCTGAGTAGAGAAAAGTTAATCGGAATGACTCAATTGTACATGTATGTGATGTCCTGTAATAACAGACAAATAGCAATAAGATTGTCTAGTCAAATGACTATACAACTTGTCCATATCTCCCTGAGTAGAGAAAAGTTATTTGGAATGACTCAATTATACATGTATGTGATGTCCTGTAATAACAGACAAATAGCAATAAGATTGTCTAGTCAAATGACTGTACAATTTGTCCATATCTCCCTGAGTAGAGAAAGGTTAATCGGAACAACTCAATTGTACATGTATGTGATGTCCTGTAATAACAGACAAATAGCAATAAGATTGTCTAGTCAAATGACTGTACAATTTGTCCATATCTCCCTGAGTAGAGAAAAGTTAATCGGAACAACTCAGTTATACATGTATGTGATGTCCTGTAATAACAGACAAATAGCAATAAGATTGTCTAGTCAAATGACTGTACAATTTGTCCATATCTCCCTGAGTAGAGAAAAGTTAATCGGAACAACTCAATTGTACATGTATGTGATGTCCTGTAATAACAGACAAATAGCAGTAAGATTGTCTAGTCAAATGACTGTACAATTTGTCCATATCTCCCTGAGTAGAGAAAAGTTAATCGGAACAACTCAATTGTACATGTATGTGATGTCCTGTAATAACAGACAAATAGCAGTAAGATTGTCTAGTCAAATGACTGTACAACTTGTCCATATCTACCCGAGTAGAGAAAAGTTATTTGGAATGGCTCAGTTGTACATGTATGTGATGTCCTGTAATAACAGACAAATAGCAATAAGATTGTCTAGTCAAATGACTGTACAATTTGTCCATATCTCCCTGAGTAGAGAAAAGTTATTTGGAATGGCTCAGTTGTACATGTATGTGATGTCCTGTAATAACAGACAAATAGCAATAAGATTGTCTAGTCAAATGACTATACAACTTGTCCAAATCTCCCTGAGTAGAGAAAAGTTATTTGGAATGGCTCAGTTGTACATGTATGTGATGTCCTGTAATAACAGACAAATAGCAATAAGATTGTCTAGTCAAATGACTATACAACTTGTCCAAATCTCCCTGAGTAGAGAAAAGTTATTTGGAATGGCTCAGTTATACATATATGTGATGTCCTGTAATAACAGACAAATAGCAATAAGATTGTCTAGTCAAATGACTGTACAATTTGTCCATATCTCCCTGAGTAGAGAAAAGTTAATCGGAATGACTCAATTGTACATGTATGTGATGTCCTGTAATAACAGACAAATAGCAGTAAGATTGTCTAGTCAAATGACTGTACAACTTGTCCATATCTACCCGAGAAGAGAAAGGAACAGGAACGTCTCAGTTGTATGTGATATCTTGTATTAATGGAAAACAAAAAGCAAAAGATTTGATTTTAAACATTTTATTAAGGTCTACAAGGATTAACAATTTATACATTTATATTTATATTTAGGACTATTCGATTAAAATGGATATGAGAGGGTTGGTTGACTTTCTGCAAATTTCCCCACAATCAACCTAATTTGCTTTGAGATCAAGTTTACACAATCATGACAATGATAACGTACAGTTTATAGAAGGTGGTTCAGTTAAAATCACTGGTGGTGTTTCACTGTTAAACAGGGTGATTGCTGGTGAGACGTGGGTGAAGGGTGAAACACTAATTAATATATTATTTATGGAACATACAGATCTAGAGTGAATCCCCAACTTACAACAGCATTCGCTTTAGAAATTCACTACCAGAGGCGGATTTAGAGGGTTTTTCAGGGGGCCAGGGCCCCCCCTTTTTTGGGAAAAAATTGGTTGATTATATAGGGAATCACTGAAGCATGACTGGAGCGGGCCCCCTCTTAGGCAGTCAGTGGGCCCCCACTTATGAAAAATTCTGGATCCGCCACTGACTACCAAGAATGCTTTAAACTGAATGACCTTTTTTTGTCATTAAATGGAAGTTCCATCATAATATAAGTTCCAAATGAAATATTCTGGACTATTATTTCCAGTGGAACAAATATTACAGTGAATGGAATAAATGGTCTAGCACATTTGTTCCAACAGGAACAGATATTATGGTATTGTTTATTACGTAGTTTCTAGGGGAACTTCAATAAGGCAAAACTAATATATGTTGACACAGTGTTCTGTACAACCATGGATATTACACATCCTATGTCCAATAAGATTCCTTTGCTACCATTTCACATGGTCATCTATAGATATAGTCAATGATACATAGAAAGGATAATTAGCAAATACCAAAAAATATTTGATAGTTCAACAGACCACAACAACTGACAACACCAAACTCAAACTGTCGAACAACAACGAAGAACACATCATCAATGCCGAACATCAACTAAGAACACATCATCAATGCCGAACAACAAGGAAGAACACATCATCCTTCTAGCCTGACTCACTTTTATGTTTTGCCTATTAAGTTTGGTCATTTAAACATTTGATATGTTTTTATTATTGTTAAAATTGTGATAGGATATTTCTCACATTTTTGTAATAACAATAATTGTTTATGACAAATAAAATCACTAGACAGCATTTTACTACCTGCATTCAGTCAAGTTCATGTTGTTGAATCTTATTTTTATATTTTCACCAAATAAATTAATATTTCAGAGTAACCAGACACAGAAGAGAAGTTATTGAACCAGAATTAATACAGGAAGGATCAGATTCTGAGACTGAGGCTAGAGGTCGCAGGGATGAAGAAGACAGTGATGCTGAAAATGAAGATATAGATGAAGAGGTTTGTCATTAGGCTTGAAATTAATTGGGGTAAAGGAAGGATGAATTAAATACTGACACAAGAGGTTAGAGTTTAAGGGAAGAGAAGGTCAGTAATTCACAAAATGAATATTTAGACCAAAAAGTTTGTCATAAGGTTTAATGTCAATTTGTGTTAAGGATAGATTAAATACTGAGACAGAGGTCATAGGGAGGAGGGGGTCAGTTGTTCACAAAATAAAGGTTTGGATGAAGAGGTTTACAATTAGGCTTGAGGTAAATTATTGTTAAGGAAGGATTAATTACTGAAACAGAAGTAAAAGGGGGCAGTAATTAAAAAAAATGATAATTAGACAAAGAGGTCTGTGGTTAGGCTTTAGGTTAATTAATCTGATGATGGGTTTTAAATTGTTAAGTTTACATGTTAGATTGATAGATTTTATAAATAGATGTATTTACACTTGTATGCAAATTTTTCCGCCATTGCTAAAAATCAAACAAGTTCAGACAAAAGATTACATCACAATTTAAAAAAATTGACATCATAATAAAATAGAGATTGTTGCATGACGTCAGAAGGTCAGTCGGAGACAGATCTAGGGTCATTCAGAGACCAAGTTCAGCTAAATACCCAAAAGTGTAAATACGTCTGTTCTAATGTAGACTTCAGAAGAAAAGCAGTTTTTGATATGTACAATGTATAACTTAATAGTCAGATAAAAAAAGTAAACTTGAAGCACTTTCTCTGAGTCTAATTCTTCAGCAATATCATGAAATAAAGATAATATTACACAAAAAAAGTAGTTTTTAAACCATGAATATTTATTTCCAGGAAATAGAGAGAAGAAGAGCTTTACTGAGACAGAGGGCATTGCAAAGACAGGAAGAAGAGGTGAGGGAGATAACTCAATAATAATTTTATTGAAAATCAATATTTTTGAAATATCAAGGACTATATATATGTATACATTAGCCACACATGCTTGTATTTAGTGAATCCCAACAAAACACTGTAATTGATGGTCGTTTATGTGATAAGATTTCCAACTAAATATTCAAAAGAGATATTTCATCAGATTTATTCACTCACAAAATTGCAATCACCCACATTCACTGGTTAACCTAGCATATTAAAGTTTTAAAAAATTACCTACCACAAGTGGATAATAATAGTAATTAACAGGATTATGGGGTAAAATTTTTATTTATTTATGTTTTTAGGCAAGATAAAAATAATTCAGCTTATCTGAACCTTCTTCGTCTACAGGTATTCAAAACCAGTCTCAATATAAAAATAAGATGTGGTATGAACCAGTCATTTTTGTGTAATATTTCAGTTATCATGGTTAATCAGATAAAAAATTTTAGATGGAAAATAAAAAAAGTTCCTTCCTTCCCTATCTATAATTAGACACATTCGTCATACATTTTAAGATGTATCTATACTCATCAACAATTACAGGCTTATAATTTGGTAAGCCAGACAGACACAAGTCTACATAAGACTCATTGGTGACCTTCAAGGGAGAACAAGTGGAAGGCCAAACCATATATGAGCATTCATAATTAAAAAAAATTGCCATATTTTAAGTTAAAATTTCAAATTAAGATTGATTTAATACCAATATCACAATGGATTACTCTGGATTAAGTATTTTTCGTTGGATACCAATTTTCTTGGATTTCGTGGGTACAGTTGAACCACAAATTTAAATGTTCAACGAATTATAAATTTTCCATAGACTTGTATGCAGACTTTAGCAAAACCACGAAATTAAATATCCACGACAGTGTAATTTTTGGCCTAAATTAAAATATTGTTTGTTTGCCCCAATAAATTCGTTCCGACTGAAAATCTTTTATTTGTATTTACTGGCAATTTTTTTTATTCAAATTGATTTTTTGTTCCTGCGGAAAATCTTGTATTTGTATTTACGGCTCAAAACTTTTTTACCAGAATCCTCAGGTTTTATCTTTCCTGTATAAGGTTTAATCCGTTAAGTATCACGGGAGCGTTTGACATGATCACTGGCATTTTGAGATTCAAAGCATTGGTTTGAAATTGACGTTGAAAGTTTGGAAAGCATCTGTGTGTCAAAAGATCAGGGTTCATTCAAGAAAATGTTGGTCCAAAACAAAAATTAAATTTTGTACAAAGGAAATTTGGGAAGATGTTGTAGGGGTGGCTTTTTGTGATCCGTAGATCAGGATGACCATGTAAACGATGCCTTTGACAGGGGTCGCGTCACCGTGAAATTGCTCAGTGGTGGATCACAGTAAATGTTTGAGGCAGATTTTAATAATACTGCTTCCACGGTTCTCAACTTCAATAATAACTTGAAAAATTGTAACCATGACTGTTAAAACTTCTGAGAGAGAGTTTTTTTTTTTGGGGGGGGGGGGGGGGGGGAGTGTTTCCATTCCCAAAATCCTGGCATTTCCCAAGCTTAAATTTTTCCCATTTTTCCCACCTCAAAATGTCTAGATCCCGAATCCATGTTTAATAATTTTACCCCTATTTCACGAATTCCTGGACCTAAAAAGGGTCAATTAAGGAGTCTCAATAAAAGGACTACCCCTCGTCAGTCCTCCTCCCCCTCCCCGGCCAGTCCTGTTCTCGTCAAATTTAAGTCAATTCTGGGTATATATTTCCCATGAAAGGTGATAAAAAAAACTATATTTCGAATTCCAATTAAAAAAGAAACACTTACAGTAACTCAACATATTATTTATATCATGAACCAAAGGCCTAAAAAGTGGAGATTAAGTTTTTCCATACAGACCATTTATAAATGTCATGTAAAATACAAGTTTCAAGTCTTGTAGAATTTTTATATGGAACAGACCCAGGATACTTCTAAACACTCTAGAGTTAACCCACTCTCAATGGATTTAAAGAGGGGGAATGCACTGCTTGGCAGTGGCTTTATATTCTAGTCAAATATTGAGATTCTTTTGATTTCACAGATATGTCTCAGGTAATTTTAGTTCAGGTTCTGTTAAAATTGTAAGTATGTGAATAAAACATGCTTCAGATATATCTTATACTTGTTTTCATTTCTGACAGGAATTGAAAAATCATTCTGTATATTATTTTAGTCTACCAATAATATAGAAAGATTATGATAAACAATAAGTTATTGAAATCTAAAATATATATATATATGACTTTGAAATTAGTGAATCTTGCAATGCCTTTCTCTTTTCTTACACTTCAATCAGGAGCAGAATAATTCTTCAAGCCCTCTGTTTGGTCTGCAGCACTAGTTAGAACCCCCAGTTTCTATGTGCTTAGAGAGAGTGGTTATTGATCCATTGTGCTATTTTGCACTGTGACTCCCAACATGCAGATACGTTATAAACTAACTAGTGGTCTACTGTGATTGGTTAAGGAACATAGGGTGCATATACTGCAGTGTGCATTTAAGCCGTGCAGGTATATGTGCTTACTAAAAAGTTAAATGCAGATGATGCATATGAAAGGATCTAAAGATATTTTAAAGAAGATACCAAACAGAGCATACATAAACAAAAGCAGTACAGACAAAAACGATATCATGCAGATTTCATATCTATCAAATAAAATAAAATATTTTACCTACCTGCCTACCCATGACAAAAAATGTACCATGCCAAGTTATTTTTTGGCAAAGAAAAATAAAATATTTTACCTACCTACCTAACCTGTTTCAAAAAATAGAGTAGGAAAAGGGCAAACAAACAATATTTTAATTTAGGCCTTTCCTTAATCCACAAAAACTGGTAATCACGAAAATAAATATCCACGAGAGTGTGTTTTCCTTAATCCACAAAAACTGGTAATCACGAAAATAAATATCCACGAGAGTGTGTTTTCCTTAATCCACAAAAATTGGTAATCACGAAAATAAATATCCACGAGAGTGTGTTTTCCTTAATCCACAAAAATTGGTAATCACGAAAATAAATATCCACGAGAGTGTAAGTTTTCCTTAATCCACAAAAATTGGTAACCACGAAAATAAATATCCACGAGAGTGTGTTTTCCTTAATCCACAAAAATTGGTAACCAAGAAAATAAATATCCACGAGAGTGTGTTTTCCTTAATCCACAAAAATTGGTAACCACGAAAATAAATCCACAGTACAGCTAAAACTATGACTAGATAGGAAAAATGTTTTTGTTGACAATTTAGGTTTCAGCATTCTTTTCATGATGTCACAAATAGAACTAAAAATTAATGAAAACAGGTCAATTTATATTGATTTGTAGGACAGGAAACATAAAGCACATTCGTCAACAAAAAAGATTTTTTTTTACATTTTGCTTCTTATAACAAATTACATATCTGACTTGAATATTTGGTTTTTCTAAGCCTGTATATGGCCCTTACCATACATTCCTTAATAGAAGCGTATAATTGATATTTCGTGTCAACAAATATTTATTACAGGAAATTTTAGATGTAGAAGAAGAAAAAGATGATGCTGAGAGTGATGAAGAATCATCAGAATACGAAGAATACTCTGATTCTGAGGAAGAAACAGGTCCTCGTCTGAAACCTGTCTTTGTCAGAAAGTAAGTGATAACATGTCATGTAAACTGAGTGGCAGTAGAAATGTAGCACCATAAGGTATTTTTCATTTAATAATTATTAGCTGAGTTGGTTAACCGTTATGGATTATTTGTTTTACAGATGACGAGGGATATGTTACAATTGTCGTAACCACAATCTCGTCCTCTTTTCACTGAATGTGACCTACCAAATTAGACTTATCACAGGGTTTGTACTTACATAAGCAACACGACAGGTACCACATGTGTATGGAAAGCCAACAGGGTCAAAATTCTTAATTTGTAACTTGTCAATTCGTAACTTGTATCTGTGTAATTTCTAAATTCGTAATTCGTAAATTGTTAATTTGTAACTTGTTACTGTGAAATTTCATAATGCTTAATTCGTAACTTGTTGATTTGTAACTTGTATCTTTGTAATTTCAAAATTCTTAATTGGTAAATTGTCAGTTTGTAACTTGTAACTGTGTAATTTCATAATGCTTAATTCGTAAATTGTCAATTTGTAACTTGTATCTTTGTAATTTCAAAATTCTTTATTGGTAAATTGTCAATTTGTATATTGATGTTTTGTAACTTGTAACATGTCGATTCGTGAAATGTCGATGTGTTAAATGTCATCGTTGTTGTATTATGCTAACGATCATTATGACGACAGATGGCGATCTGTTTCTTCTTTGGTGTATAAGCCTCCTGTAAGTAGGAGCACCTTCATATGGAATATAAATATTTAGTAATTTAAATCAATTATGTACAGCAAAGCAAAATTATTCGTCTAAAAGAAAGCAAAACCAAAAAATTGCATGTTTACAGGATCCCAGTTTTTAGCTCACTGGGGCCCGAAGGGCCACATGTGAGCTTATGCCATCACTTGGCGTCCGTCGTCGTCCGTCGTCTGTCGTTGTTGTCTGTTGTCGTCATAAACTATTTCAAAAATCTTCTCCTCTGAAACTACTAGGCCAAATACCTTCAAACTTTAACTTAATGTTCCTTAGGGTATCTAGTTTATAAATTGTATCCGAAGTTGTGATCCATCGACAAACATGGCCGCAATGGCTAAAAATAGAACATAGGGGTCAAATGCAGTTTTTTGCTTATATCTCAAAAACTACAGCTTTTAGAGCAAATCTGACATGGGGTAAAATTGTTCAATTGGTCAAGATCTATCAGCCCTGAAATTTTCAGACGAATCAAACAACTCATTGTTGGGTTGCTGTCACTAAATTGGTAGTTTTAAGGAAATTTTGCAGTTTTTTGTTATTATCTTGAATATTATTATAGATAGATATAAACTGTAAAAAGCAATAATGTCCAGCAAAGTAAGATCTACAAAAAAGTTTATATGACCAAAATTGTCAACTAACCCCTTAAGGAGTTATTGCCCTTTAAAGACAATTTTACACAATTTGTTCATCAAGTTTGCTAACATTTAAAAATCTTCTCCTCTGAAACTACTTGGCCAAATACCTTCAAACTTCATCTAAATGTTCCTTATGATATCTAGTTTATAAATTGTATCCCAAGTTTTAATCCATCGACAAACATGGCCGCCATGGCTAAAAATAGAACATAGGGGTCAAATGCTATTTTTGGCTTATATCTCCAAAACTAAAGCTTTTAGAGCAAATCTGACATGGGGTAAAATTGTTCAATTGGTGAAGATCTATCAGCCCTGAAATTTTCAGACAAATCGAACAACCCATTATTGGGTTGCTAACACTTAATTGGTAGTTTTGAGGAAATTTTGCAGTTTTTTGTTATTATCTTGAATATTATTATAGATAGATATAAACTGTAAACAGCAATAATGTTCAGCAAAGTAAGATCTACAGAAAAGTTAAATGACCAAATTTGTCAATTGACCCCTTAAGGAGTTATTGCCCTTTAAAGACAATTTTACGCAATGTGTTCATCAAGTTTGCTAACATTTAAAAATCTTCTCTTCTGAAACTATTGTGCCTAATACTTCTTAACTTTGAATGAATGTTCCTATAGGAATCTAGTTTATGAATTGTATCCGAAATTTTGATCCATCAGCAAACATGGCCGCCATGGCTAAAAATAGAACATAGGGGTGAAATGCAGTTTTTGGCTTATATCTCAGAAACTAAAGCATTTAGAGCAAATCTGACATGGGGTAAGATGTTCAAAAGGTCAAGATCTATCAGCCCTGAAATTTCCAGACACACCTAACAACCCATTGTTGGGTTGCTGCCACTAAATTGGTTGTTTTAAGGAAATTTTGCAGTTTTTGGTTATTATCTTGAATATTATTGAAGATAAAGATAAACTGTAAACAGCAAAAATGTTCAGCAAAGTAAGATCTTCAAAAAAGTTTAATATGACCATAATTGTCAATTGACCCCTTAAGGAGTTATTGCCCTTTAAGGAGAATTTTACACAAGTTGTTTTATGTTTTTTAACTTTAAAAATCTTCTCAAATAAATCTAGTATAAATTTTGTATTTCATTTCCTTGTACCTCAAGAAACATATACACTATGGCTAAAATGGAACATATGGGTAAAAAGCAAAAATAATCATTGATGAAAGATTTAAGCAAAAAAAATAACAGGTGAGCGATTCAGGCTCTTGAGAGCCTCTTGTTTGTTTACTGAAGACGACAGGTGGCGTTTCGAGAACAGAAACTATATAAAACACATCCCGAATAGGTTCAGTCCCTCCATGTAATCGATCTCTCCTAATTGCGAGGTTAATGAAATAGTCGTTGGTCAGCGGAATACAACGACTGAATTATTCAGGTGAATACAATAAAGGTGATAAACCGTTTGATTGCCAATGAGACAACTATCCACCAAAGTTCAAATAAAGTCGATGTAAGCAAGTATAGGCAACTTACGGCGGCCCTTCAACAATGAGAAAACCCAATACCATATAGTCGTCCATAAAAGGCTACATCACTACTGAAAAACCCTGGGTACTAGTAATAAACGATTTCTATTAATCCTAAAATGCTATATCCATGATATCGGACCATTAGTTCTGACAGGAGGGAAAGGGCTGACAGACATATATATATATATATATATATATATATATATATATATATGTGTGACCAGTGTATATACATTAATATACAAGCTTAAGAATTGCCGCTACCTTTTTTTTAGTTCTATAAAAATTTACAACCCAAAAAACCAAAATATTCCCGATTCCTTCTCAACTGCTGCTAAACTCCCAGTACTCCTGGTATATACCCCACCCGGTGCAACCCCTCTTCTTCTTTACGTTTCTAGCGATCCTTCAATTATTGAAGATTATTCGCTGGCCGTCGACTATAAAATTTTATAATTTACATTGTAGTAAGAAAAATAAAAAGAAACTAAATCAAAAATCAAAATAATGTATGTACATTCGAAAAATTTCATTTAGATAAAACTATATACATTTGATAACAAAATATTTAGGGATAGAAAATGGGGATGAGAGCAGATTCTGAGATCATACTCTTGAATCCCTGTACTGTACTGCATGATACTATTTGTTGTGGCAGATGATTCCAATTTATAACTGTTCGTGGATAAAATGAATATTTATAACTGTCTTTAGATGTTTGTATTTGCCTAAATGAGTGTGGATTGCTATTGTCTAGTGGGATCAAAAGGTTATATGTAGGGACTGCAACGATTTCGTGTATAATTTTGTAAAAGAAGACAAGTCTGTACCGTAAACGCCTAATTTCAAGTGGGTCATTTCAGTAACCGATCTGGTGTTATGGAAGCGGTTGCATGAGAAGCGCACTGCTCTTCTCTGAAATTTCTCAATTTGTGAAATTTGCTGTTTTTGATGTGGATCCCAAATAGTTGATCAATACTCTAGTTTTGGTCGGCAACCTGACCAAATCTAATATTTCGTCGATTTGATTCACGATGTTAATTAATAAAGCTTTTTTTTTTTAATTAACATTTCATATGAAATTAAAAATAGTTTGCAATGAATTCGTAACAATATAAATATTTCCCGACATATGTCAAGAAATGACGCTATCCCACGATGCATCATCCTAATACCCAATTGATGAAACCATGTTGTATTCCGCCTGGCTCTTCTGTCGAGCAGTGAGCCAGGACCTAGCTACCAATTTTCTCTCCAAAATAACTCAAGACATACTCCCTCCCCCACCCGGGCCAAACCCCAAATCATGTGCAAATACTTTTATGGAGAAATAAAATAAGGGTAAGCGTATTGGAGATAATTGCTTCTGTCATGCAAATAGTGAGATGGCAAGATTTTCTCTCTGACAAGTCAAAGTGGTAGGGTGTCACTTTGGTTAAAAGTGGGTGTAGGTGATGTGTGTAGTAAAAAATAGACAGTTTCATAGTTTTACAATCATGGTCATTGACAAAATATCCAGAGGGCGGGACACCTCCTAGTATATGTCGATCTAATACGGTAACTATGATCATTCTAGATATATATCTGTAGGAATATGTTGTGGATACCAATACTGGCTTTAATACAATGGTAGAGCGAGCGCCGTGACGGTCGATGTATTGACGGTGCAAGCCGAGAGCAGTTTCTGAACGGCAATCAACGCTAGGTGTGCGCACTACAGTGTCTTCAAGTTGGTTCCACTCGATTACTGTTTTTACGAAAAAGGAGTTAGAATATTGTGGTATTTTGCTCGTTGAGATCTCAAAACACTTTGTGTAGTTTTTGATCTGCATGTTTTTTCACAACATTTCTTGACTGATAATTGTTAAATCGGGCCTTTGGCAGCAATTCAGTGTTCTTTTTGGACGAGCTTTTTTTTAAAAAATTGTCTGGTTCTATAGCACTGAGAAACCAGCCCCTCGACCACCTCATACAGAAATATTAGCTTCTGGCTTGAGCGTCTTGTCTGTATGTCTTGTAGTTTCAGTTTGGTGAGCGTGTTTAAGACGCAACCAACTTCTCTGGATTTGTAGTCTCCTGTTATAAATCACGCAGGTTGTCGCTGTATTCTTTCAAGCTTATTGATGTTTGTAGATGTGTACTGGTCCCA